TCAGTTGGATGATATCTAACAAGGTAAAAAGGTATAAAGACTTGTGTTGAAATTGTGAAAAAAGTTGTTATTCTTGGAGTACCAATTTCAATAAAAAATGGAATTGACGAGACATAAGAAAGGTAATACATTTAATTGATGAGAGTTTTTTTTTTGCGTTATAAACAATTGACGTTATAATCTAGGTAACAAAGAGGGTTATTTTCCACGTAAAAAATGAAGTAGAAAGAGAGAAACGCGGATAGATTGGCGACAAGCAAGAGATACAGAGAGAGAAATATAAAGAAAAAGCCATTTTCGTGAGAAGAGGTCTAATTGTGATACCATAAGACAAACTTGGATTATCATTTATGGAAAAGAAAAGTGAGAAAACAATTATAACATGACCTCTTTATGGTAACGTTTGGTTCATATGTAGCTAAAACTTGATGGCGAGGTTTCTGGTATTATTATCTTGAGGTTTAATGGTAGGATATAGATTTAAACGGATTTTTAGAAAAAAAGCTTCTTCAACATGTTCGAAAAGATTTATTCTAAAGTTTCAGATTTGACCATCAAAGTGGAAACATGAACATCCAAACATACTCAGAATAATCTAAAATTTGGTAAGAGTATTCTGGAGACGTGAAACGAAGTTTTGGTAGAAAGGCGTCAAATTTCGAGTTCAGAAGGTCAAATGAACGACGTTGTTTCGGGTAGTTAATTAATAGGCTTATGGAGCTATATTCGTTATTGTTAGTAAGTTTAAATTTTTTGCTCTATTTTTAACCATAAAATAATGATTTTTTTTACACAGAAGAAGATGGAGAGGATGATGAAGATATAGAGGAAGAGAAAGAGGAAGAGTATAACGAAAAAGTGGAAAGTAACGGTGACAACGACTATGAAAAATTGACAATGTAGATGACGAGAAAGAATATGAAGAGTAAGAAACGATGAATGTGAAGAGAAATACGAACACATAGGTGTTGGCGGCCAATTGAATATGAGAAAAAAAAGATTGATTCATGATTCTTTTGACAAGACTTTATTCTTAACACTACTGATTTTTGTAATTGTGCATTTGAATTAGAAATTTTGCTTTAATAGTAATTTAAAAACTACTATTAATCGTATATAATTTTCACCAAAATATATCAAATAAACCCACACGTCAAAACCTAGGCCCTGAATGTTTGGTAGTTTATTATTGGTTTTTAGATTCTAGTTTTTGGATTTTGATTTTTGTGGTTTTTGATTTTTGGTGTAGATTTTAGTTTTTGCAAAATCTTGAATGGTAATTTGTTTAGTATTTAGTTTTTCTACATAAAATAGAGTTTTAGTTTTAAATGAATTGGTAAATGGTAAAAATAGCATATTTAAAATAATAAAAAAGAATTAAAAATGTTTTTGACGTAAATTGTTTTGAAAACCCCACAAAACTTGGTTTTTAGATTCTATGAAGAAAAGCCAGAATCTCCTAAAATCTGGTTTCCCTATTTTTTAGGAAATCTACTTTTTGTAAAATCATGAATGTGTAATTATTGAATTTTTGCACAATCATAATCCAAAAACTACAGCCATTCAAGGCCCTAGTATAATTTTAAAAAATTATTAACTTTAATCGAAATAACTAAATAAAGTGTCGACAAAAATAAAAACAAAATAACCGTATCATGGTGCCTCACTTCCCCATCCCACGAGTCCATGATCCACCTTCCTCGCCCACGATCCCTCTTCAAAAATAATAATGATCCTTATATAAATCGTCTCCAGATCATCTGTTCATCATCGTTGTGTACTTGTGTCAGTGTGGCCCTCATGGGTTAATGTTAGAAATCAAATATCTCGCACAGTTGCACTGCCCCATTTTAGATTTCTAGGTTATTTTCCTCCTCTGCTTATTTTTCAATCATTTAGATTTCTCCGTTTGCTCACGTATGACTGATTGTTTACTTCATCGTCGTATTTCTTCTCATCAAATCTGCTATGCATGGAAGAAGAAATCTGATTCGTTTTGTGTCTTCGTAATTTTATTCAGATATCTTGGAGGAGAGAAACGGATTCAAAGATCCTCCGAGAGAATTCTAGGTGACTGTGATTTCATTGTTGCGTTGCTTGGATTTCGAATTCTCACTTTTAACTGGATACTCTCTGTCTTAATTTTTAAGAAGGTAGATTCACATTCTTTTACTATTTTTAATTTGTAGTTTATGTTTTCATATTTTTATTGGTTTAACTGTGTGTTTGGCTATTGTGCATCCTTGAAGGAGTTGAAAGAGTGAAATTGACCACCTTTATGTGCTCCACATCTTGGATATGTAAGAGCAACATTATCAATGGTCTCTTAGGACAATTCTTAAGTTAAGAGATATGTCTTATAAGTTATAACTAACAAAAGTCTCTTAAAGTCTCTTAACTAAGAGACTTTTGTTAGTTATAAGACATATATCTCTAAACTTAAGAGTTGTCCTAAGAGACCATTGATAATGATGGTCTAAGGACACTTACGAAGACGTATGCAGCACGTATATATAAAGAACAAGATTAATTCCGAGATGGAGATATTGATCACTAGGGATTATGTTTCCCCCTTGCAAAGTTTGAGGAAACAATATTAAAATAAAGGTACTGAAATAGTTTTTGTGAAATGCACTTACACAATTTCACTCTAATTTAAACACCAATTAATTAACAACGATTCTTAACGAATTGATCTTTTTTACTTTACTCTCAAACTTTGCAGAAGTAGTATGACTGCAAGTAGGAGATTGATTCCGAAGGGATTTCATGGAGTTGACTCCAAGAAAAAAAGAGAGGCCCTTATAGAATTTGGCCAGATAGAACACCTTAATTAGAAGGCTAGAATGATCAATGGCTATGCATCTGTCAATGAAGAGGGCCAGTAAATGGTCAAAAGTTAACAGAAAGAGCAATGTCCTAATACGCGGCTAAAGTGATGGAGCTTGGTCCGATAGACACGGCCCAAATAGATGATGGAAAGGAAGAAGATTTGTTAGTAAAATGAAGCTTGAAAAGAAAAAAATAGACTCTGCTGAAAAAGGACTCTTAACATCTTAACTTCACCACATCTTTGGGGTACAAACACGAGATGATAAAGTTTGAGCTAATGGAATTAAGGTCAACTCAATTATATGAAGTTTGAGTTAATTATATGAAAGACTTCCGGTGCTCGCACCGGGTATAATACTAGTAGATCTATAAATCAAAGACAAGGAGCGAAACCTAACCTCTCAAAAAATCTGTTCTCGATAGAGTACGCCGAAAGATCGAGACAACTATCAACAACATCGAACAACACCAAAGAAACCAACCAAGTACAATCTTAGAAGACTAACACATTAAATAATGTATCCACTAATATAAACACCACATAAATTTATTTTAAAGGTATATTCCATAAAATGGCGCACTACAAGAGTCTACGATAGATGATTCCATATGCAACACACTCAAATGATGTACGAGACCACGACTAACAATATTTTATCGAACGTACCACCAATAATCAATGATAATTCACAATATATCTGTAACTTAAATCCTAGATTTGATTTAGAAGCATTAAAATTTTGGTCACTAATTTTAGACCAAAAGGCTTCTAAGTTCTAACCTTAGGTTTGAGTGTAGAGTGGTTTTGTTATAGCCGAAAGTATCAACAAATGACCCAGATTTAGGTTGACCATATGCTAGAAATTCATCATGTCTTGACTATTACAAATTTTTGAGCCATACAAGTTGGGCTTAATCATTTCTTAAACCCAAGAACTTGTGAGCATCTATTTATTTTGTTTTTATTTTTTTGGGTGTAAATAGCATCTATTAATTATGGGGAAAAAACCCGAAAAAACCGCCATCTATTTTTTTTTTGGCCGTTTAATACCTGTAGTTTTAAAATTGGAATAAAAATACCTCGATTAGTTATTGTTGTCATTTAAATTCTTTGTTTTTTAAATTTTGGTAGATTCGTACATCCGCGTTAACGGCTCTTAACGGTGGTAACGGAATTGGTAACTGTGGTTAAAACTTAACCCACGTATTTAAATAGATATATAAATTTGAGTATAACTGATTTTGCATGTAGTGGTGTGTGGTCTGGTGGTTAAAACGTTTTTGTTTTTCACAACACCCCTGGGTTCGATACCCTAAATTACATTTTTTTTTTGTTTTTCCTCTTTATCTCTTTCGCCCTAACGCCGCCGACCATCAGATTTAATGTCTTCCTCTTTCTCTCCTTCGCCCTAGCACCGCCGACCACCGTCCCAATGTCGTACTCATCGACCACGGCCACCGTCGCCTCCGATTATAGCTAGGTGTGGTCTCGCTGTCGCTTTTGAAAAGGTGGTGGTCGGATTTCAGATTGATGCATCACATAATTTGCTACAGGAGGAGCGTAACATTACCCATTAATTATATGATTAAGGTTGATAATGTTGCTGAATCAATATTTTTGAGGATAGGGAGAATCGATGTGAAAGCTTGGCATAGAGGGGCTTTTGGCTTTCCGGAATCCTCAAGAATCATCAAAAAAACAAGAAAAAAAAAAAAGAAAAAAGGGGTTTCATGTGTATCGAACCCAGGTCTCGCAGGTAAAGACACACATACTTTACCATCTGACCATGTTAATAGATTAGCAATTTTTTAAAACTGAATGTATATATCTATTTAAAATACGTGGATTAAGTTTTAACCGCAGTTAGCAATTCCGTTACCACCGTTAACATCCGTTAACTCGGAGGTACGAATCTACCAAAAGTTAAAAAATAAAGAATTTAAATGGCAACAATAATTAATCGAGGTATTTTTATTCCAATTTTAAAACTACAGGTATTAAACGGCCAAAAAAAAAATAGATGGCGGTTTTTTCGGGTTTTTTCCCATTAATTATGTGCATGCTCATCCCCAAAAAAAGAACACTTGTGGACATCTATTTATTATGTGTACACTTTACTTCTATTTTACCCCAAGTCTTGAGTCATGAATGTAATTGTGTTGGGTGACTCTCAATTCTTCATATATTACTTAACCACATCTCATATCAATGACATACATAGATACATGACAACATGAATGTAAAATAAAAAAGATTTTATTCAGTAGATTCAGAAAACTGTTTCTTAGTCCACCAGAGGATCTAAGTGTTCTTCCTTGCAGAATAGGCACAATAAGCCGCCACTCCAGCAAATGCAGCAGCCGTCACTGTAATTTAACAACACAACACAACCCAATTTGGTTAATTAAATTGACATTGTTTAATTTGGAGATAAAACAATGGGAAGATTTCAGAAAACAAACCTGAGGCAATAACAGCCGAGTTGTTACTATCCTTTAGTGTCGCAACTACACAGTTCGATTCAAATCTCTTTCGATGCCGCTCTATATCTGAAGCCTGTATTATAGATAACGAATGATTCATTAGAAGATGGAGTTTATAACCATAAAACCAAAGCTGTTTAAATAAATTTTAATCATTTACCGAAAGTTTTCCAACAATCATATGAGCTTTGTAGAAAATATCTTTAACATCATCATCATCACCCCAAGCTTCTTCAAACTTAGAGATCAAATCTTCAGTTACAAGCTCAACTCCACGTTCTTTAGCTTTCATTGCGGGTTGCCACGATCTCAAGAAACCGATAAACCCTTTAAGCGATAGCTTATGAGGAATGTCAAGCATTATAGGCTTCCCTTCTGATCCCATCCCTATACTTTCAAACGGAAACGGCAACGTTTTGTAACCGTCGAAAGCAAGATTCATTACCGGAGTTCTAAATGGAAACGTGGAGTCCACGAGACGTTTCATGATGGAATCAACTTCAGGGGAGATGATTATGTCGTTGTAGACAAAAACTGCGATTAATCCTCCTTCTTTGCGAAGAACACGTTTTGCTACGTTGTAGAATGGTGCGAGATCGAAGTAGTGAACGGCTTGTGCTGCCACGATTAGATCAACAGAGTTATCTCCACCGACTAGAGCAACCATTTGGTCTTCGGACATTGTTGTTGGAGTGTGATGGTAACTGATTCTTTCGTGTTTTACTGCTCGTTTTAACTGTGCTTCGTTTATGTCGGTTGCAATAACTTTCTCGAAATACTCTGCAAGCTGCAAATTAAACAACGGTGAATGTTATTAACATTTTAGGTGAATAGTACAATGACAAATAACATTAAAAATTTTGAACCACACAATTTTTTTGTTAAATCATGTTCTCAAAATGTGAAAATGTTAAGAATTGGTAAATCATTCATCGCTAACATTAGATGTTAATTAATTTTATCCATTAAGATCAAACTATGCTCTGATTAAATCATAAAGTCATTAGAAAGGAGCCACTCATCTTCTTCTCTAGTCTCAACTAAATCCATAATTTTGTTTCTCTAGAGGGATTTAAACGACATCGTTTTATTGATCTAAGTGAAGCAGAGTACATAAGAAAGTGGAAACTTTTGGAAAAAAGATGAAGAAGCTTACACCAATAGCTGCTTGACCGTTGCCAGTACCAACATCCCAAGCTGATTTGTGCTGACCGGTTCGAGCAGCAAGTTTAGTGAACCAATCGATCGGATATCTCGGCCTTGCGTTCTGGTAAGCATCCGCTAACTTATCCGACAAGGCAGCCATTGTTTTCCTCTGTTTTCTTCTTTTTTTTTGCCTTGTGATCTTGTTCTTGTTGTTTGATTGCTTTGTATCTCTGTATTGATTTATGAGAATCGAGTCACTCATGTGTTGTTGTTATATACAGTACTGATTGTGGTTTTTGCCGTAGATGAGAAGAATGAGACCAAGTCAAGTCAACTTTACAAAGTCAGTTCTGGCGACGAGTCTTCTTCTTCTTCAATGTTCTAAATCATTTGAATTGATTTATTTTCTCTCTACTCTCGTTGTATATAGTTGACTTTTCTTGAATCTCACTTGTTGTCACACAACTAACTTATCTGTACTGATATAATATCTTTTACGATTCTCTATTAATATTTGTTACAAAATAGGAATTTAATTCAATAAAAATTGGAGATCTAACAATTTCCACTAGGAAATTTGTGAAAGATCACAAAAATATAAGACCGAACATTAGGCCTACGCTTTCCGTTATCCATTCGGTTTCGGTTTTTTCGGTTCTAAAGTTTAGTATCCATTCGGATATTTTAAAATTTCGGTTCGGTTTCGGTTCGATTCCGATTCTTTCGGTTTTAAAATTTAGTATCCATTCGGTTATTTTGCTTAGGATATTTTCGGATATTTTGAGTATTTTCGGATATTTTTGGATATTTTCGGTTATTTTCGAGTATTTTTACTATTTTTATATATTTTTTAAGTATTTTTGATTATTTGGTCTATAAATAACTAATTATTTTGAAAATATAATTGTATTTCGGGTATTTCGGTTACCCGAAATATTTTGATTCGGTACCAATTCGGTTACGGTTATTTCGGTTATAAAATTTAATATCCATTCGGTTATTTTCAAATTTTCGGTTCGGTTCGGTTCGGTTATTTTTGCTCCGGTTTCGGTTCGGTACATTCGGTTCGGTTTAAAAGCCCAGGCCTACCAAACATGCTGTTAAAAATTATTAGAGGCATATTATAAAGTTGTGGATTTACATTTCTTTTCCACAATTTACATTTCTTTTCTTATAGGCCCAGTATTATACGGGCTTTAATATATGGGCCTTATTCAGGATAAGCTATATTTGATATGAGTTTCGGTTCATCATCATCATCATCAATCAATCTCTTCGCGAATCTTCAATCGCCGCTTGAATCTTCATCATCCTCGATCAGTGGTTGTTGCCGGAGAAACCCTAGATTTCAATTCGCAAGACCTTGATTTTGTTCGACAAACCCAAGAAGAATCGATGGGTAAGAACGATTTTCTAACCCCGAAGGCAATTGCGAATCGAATCAAAGCCAAAGGACTTCAAAAGCTTCGATGGTATTGTCAGATGTGTCAGAAACAATGCCGAGACGAGAATGGATTCAAGTGTCATTGTATGAGCGAATCTCACCAGAGGCAGATGCAAGTCTTTGGCCAGAATCCGACTCGTGTTGTTGATGGTTACTCCGAAGAGTTCGAGCAGACGTTTCTCGATCTGATGCGGCGGAGCCACCGCTTCTCTCGTATCGCCGCCACTGTTGTTTACAACGAGTATATCAACGATAGACATCATGTTCATATGAATTCTACGGAGTGGGCGACGTTGACGGAGTTCATAAAGCATCTTGGGAAAACTGGTAAGTGTAAGGTTGAGGAAACTCCTAAAGGTTGGTTTATTACTTATATAGATAGAGATTCTGAGACTTTGTTTAAGGAGAGGTTGAAGAACAAGAGAGTTAAGAGTGATTTAGCTGAGGAGGAGAAACAAGAGAGGGAGATTCAGAAGCAGATTGAGAGAGCTGCTGAGAAGTTGAATGCTGGTGGTGGTGAAGGCGAAAGCAGTGGTAAAGAAGATGATGATGAGAAGAAAAAAGATGAAGACTTGAGGTTGAAGAGTGGAGTTAAGGTTGGATTTGCTCTTGGTGGAGGTGTTAAACAGGCTGCTACGGGTAAAGAGAGAGGGGAAAGCTCGAAACTTGTGTTTGGGGATGAAGAGAATGAGAAGGTTGAGAGAGGGGAGAAGAGGAAGAGAAGCGGGGATTTGGGGAGGAGCGAGAAGGACAGAAGATCAGCTTTGGATGAGTTGATGAAGGAGGAAGAGAATAAGAAGGAGAGGATGAATCGTAAAGACTACTGGTTGTTCGAAGGGATAATTGTGAAGGTGATGAGTAAAGCTTTGGCAGAGAAAGGGTATTATAAGCAAAAGGGTGTTGTGAAGAAAGTGATTGATAAGTATGTGGGGGAGATTGAAATGCTTGATTCTAAGCATGTGCTGAGAGTTGATCAAGTGGAGCTAGAGACTGTGCTTCCACAAATAGGAGGGATAGTGAAGATAGTGAATGGGGCATATCGTGGTTCGAATGCAAAGTTGTTGGGTGTGGATACGGAGAAGTTCTGTGCTAAAGTGCAGATCGAGAAAGGTGTCTATGATGGAAGAGTCATCAAGTCCATTGAGTACGAGGACATATGCAAACTTGCTTAGTTAAAATATCTTTAGACGAAATCAGGTTTTACGATGTCTTGAACGTTATCTTTTATCTGCAAGTGAAGCATTATGATTCCTGATGGATAGCCTCATGACCAAGGTACTGCAGATGATTCTATTTCAGACATGTTATTGACTTGAATATATGGGTTTGTCACTGGTTTACTTTTATGTCATGTATGGCTACTGTAGTGTCTTTGAGAAATCTTGTGATGTTTTGGTTGTGCTTTTGCAAACGAAGCTTGAATCAAATAACTTCTGAGATTAAATTTAATGTCATGAAAGTCATGAAGTTAAACACGTAGGCTTATGGGTTCAGGGCCATGACTGCTGTTGTTTTTTAGAATTTTTGACAACTTTAATGGTTTCATTTGACATTTTAATAAAACAACTAAATTATCCTGACATTTGACATTGGTTGTACTACCCTTCCTGACATATACCCTGTTAACAATGTAACAAGTTGTATTGAGCTTCAGCCCAAAATCTTTCTGGTGCATTATTTCCATGAATCATGGCTCGTGCCATTTCCTGTAGAGTTCTATTGTTTCTTTCTACTACGCAATTCTGTTGAGGTGTTCTTAGTGCCGAGAATTGCTGAAAAATGCCTTGCTTTCACAGACTTTAACCATCACATTGTTCTGAAACTCTCCGCCATGATCACTTCTGGTCCTTATGATTCTACCTTTCTCATTTATGAGTTGTAGTGCCCAGATTATGAAGCTTCCTACTGTCTCAGACTTCTCTCTAATGAATCTTACCCATGTGAGACTAGAATAATCGTCAACAAGTACAAACACATACTTCTTTCCAGCTATACTTTCAATCTGCATGGGTACCATTAAATCCACATGAAGAAGATCTAGTAGAGCTTTTGATTGAACGTGTGTCACTTTCTTATGCTGAACCTTTACTTGTTTTCCCATTTTGCATGGTCCACATACAACTTTGTTTCCCTCTGTGAGTTTGGGTATGCCCCGAACTATCTCCTTTTTGACAAGAGTGGTCAAATTCCTTACGTTCATGTGTCCTAACTTTTGATGCCAGAGATTAAAGTCATTTTTGGCACTAAAACAGTTAAATGATTCTCGCCACATGTAGCAGTTGTTTCCAGAGCGAATTCCGCTTAAGATGATCACCTTCCCATGTCCATTAATAGCCTGACAGTCTACTCGGGTAAACACAACTCTTAATCCTTCGTCACTTGAGATCCGTTTCGTCATCTTCATCACTTATAAAGGATATGCTCGCCATATTGCATTGAAGATTGGTTTGTTCAGATTGTTTTGATGGTCTTTTAATTGAACCCTGATACAAATCTCTTTTTCTTAACCATATCTGATTTTTTCTTGAGCCATTCCAAAAGTACTTCCTTTGATACCAGACTTGATTAATTCTGTTTTGAAATTTGTAGCAAGAAGCATTGAAGTAACCAAATTTACCACAATAATTCTCCCTTTTTCTGCGGAAACACTGATTCTTTTCTGGTAGGCTTTTCCTCTGTGTATTGATCTATTCGTCACAAACTCAATTTTTCCTGTTGTAACTCCTCCTCCTCTGTATCCTAAACCGTGACAATCTCTTTCAGTTCCAGTATTTAGCATCCTAATCTTCTTAGTTTGCTCATGCAAATCAGCTTGTAGTTTGGTTGATACCTTCTTTTCTACGGTTAAGGCTTTTTCCAGTCTTTCTACTAGTGTGTCAAGACATACTTTTTTTTTCGTCAAGAGTACGTTCTCTTTACTTACTTTAAGTAGAGAATCTTACGGGCTTTGTATGCCAAGCTAAGGTTCTTCCTCAGTTTCAGTTCCAGAATCCTCACTTTCTTCCTTATATTCCGTGATTCCAATAAATGCCACAAAATAACTCATATCTTCTTCTTCTTCACTCTCATCTACTTCAGAATCTGTTGACATTCTCTCTATCTTTCACTCTTTTTCTTATGTTCGTTTGTTTAGAGAGGAACACAAGAAACGTTTTTCTTTAATCTTCGACATTGATATTTCGGATCACAAGGATAACTCTTTGCGACTTCTTCTTCGTTGTGCTTCTTCTTTTTTCTTCATCTTCTTCTCACTGGTTCCTTTTTCTTTGTTGCAGGAATTAATCAAGAACTCAAATCTCAACAGAATCACTTCCGTCAGTTCCAAGAAGTGCTACATTTCTCTTTTTTTTTTCTTCTGATCATTCACACATTCTAAACGGTTATTATGTCCAAAAACCAAAACCTTTGCACTTAAAACATTGGATCTCCTTTCTCTTGACAGTTGGACACTCAGACTTGAGATGTCCATATCCTTTGCATTCATAACATTAAGCATCTCTTTTCCTGTTTGTTTTTTTTCTCAAATGTTCCTGTTTTTCTCCAGCCTTTTTGCCACTTTTCTTAAAGCTTTATTTTGAAACATCTGCTGCTAATTCCATCGCATGAGCTTCAATCATCCCAACAACATATTCGAATTTACTTTCATCCGTGTTGAGTGATACAGCTATAGATGCCTTAGGAGCATGGAATTTTGGAGGTAAGCATCTTAGAAATTTATTTTCTTTATACTTATTTCCAAGCACAGATGCTTCATTGGCATTAATAGAGCATATTTTAGCACTAAACTCAGCAATTGAATCGTTCTTTCCCATCTTTAAGTTTTCCCACTTTGACGCGAGCAAATCTAGTCTTGTTCTCTTCACACTAGTAGCCCCTTCAAATGTTCTTTGAAGTATATATCCCATGCTTCTTTTGCTGAAGTGACCCCTCGGATTAACTTGTCTACAGAATTATGAATAGCAGTTTATAGCCTTTGAATTGAATTTTGACAAACGTTTGTCATCTTCAGTCCATTCAGGTTTAGACTTTATAACCAATGTTCCTGTTTCAGTCTTCTTAGTTGTTCGTTGATACTCCTAATGATTGACATCATCCTTACTTTCCAATAGCAATAGTTTGTTTTGTCTAGCATCAGCGGCCTTGAGACTGCAAAATGTTGATTAGAGAACTCCTTCGCGATCCGCAGGATCTCACCTGTTAAAGGAGCACTCAGGTGGAGGCTCTGATACCAGTTGAAAATGCAAGAGCTATAATCACAAGAAACAAAGATTTCTCCAAAAAAAAACTCTATTAGAAAATTCTTTTTGATAAACTTACAAGTCTTATCTAATCGGTAGACTCCTTGATTTGCAACCCAAAATCTTCTAATCTCAAGCAAGGTTTCTTAATAACATATAATTCTTAAGAAACCTTAATTTCTCTCACAATATGAAACCTTTGGAGCCTTAATGATAAGAAACTCCCTCAATTTAAAGCGCTACCTAATTGAGAGCCTAGGTGGTCTATTTATACTAGAAGAGCACCCAAATTTCATAATCCTAGTTCTTCTAGGAATCCATTAGCTTTTTCCTTTTTGCTTAAAGTACTTGTTTCTTTGTTTGAAGACGAAATCTGCGTTAATGGAAATAGCACTCTTTCAATATTGGCAATTTCCATTTAACTTGATCTTCGTTTTGAACCGACTCTTCTTGTAGCCGACTCTTCAGTAATTAACTCATCTTCTTCTTTTTTTTTGATTACTTTTCTCGCACGGCTCCTAAGTGATAAAAGTATAAGATCGAATAGACGATGGCGATTGCGAATCCTCTAACCCGGAAGGCGATTGCGAATCGAATCAAAGCCAAAGGACTTCAAAAGCTTCGATGGTATTGTCAGATGTGTCAGAAACAATGCCGAGACGAGAATGGATTCAAGTGTCATTGTATGAGCGAATCTCACCAGAGGCAGATGCAAGTTTTTGGCCAGAATCCGACTCGTGTTGTTGATGGTTACTCTGAAGAGTTCGAGCAGACGTTTCTCTATCTGATGCGGCGGAGCCACCGCTTCTCTCGTATCGCCGCCACTGTTGTTTACAATGAGTATATCAACGATAGGCATCATGTTCATATGAATTCCACGGAGTGGGCGACGTTGACGGAGTTCATAAAGCATCTTGGGAAAACTGGTAAGTGTAAGGTTGAGGAAACTCCGAAAGGTTGGTTTATTACTTATATAGATAGAGATTCTGAGACTTTGTTTAAGGAGAGGTTGAAGAATAAGAGAGTTAAGAGTGATTTAGCTGAGGAGGAGAAACAAGAGAGGGAGATTCAGAAACAGATTGAGAGAGCTGCTGAGAAGTTGAATGCTGGTGGTGGTGAAGGTGAAACAAGTGGTAAAGAAGATGATGATGAGAAGAAAAATGATGAAGACTTGAGGTTGAAGAGTGGGGTTAAGGTTGGATTTGCTCTTGGTGGAGGTGTTAAACAGGCTGCTACGGGTAAAGAGAGAGGAGAAAGCTCGAAACTTGTGTTTGGGGATGAAGAGAATGAGAAGGTTGAGAGAGGGGAGAAGAGGAAGAGAAGCGGGGATTCGGGGAGGAGTGAGAAGGAGAGAAGATCAGCTCTGGATGAGTTGATGAAGGAGGAAGAGAAGAAGAAGAAGAAGAAGAGGATGAATCGGAAAGACTACTGGTTGTTTGAGGGGATCATTGTGAAGGTGATGAGTAAGGCTTTGGCAGAGAAAGGGTACTATAAGCAAAAAGGTGTTGTGAAGAAAGTGATTGATAAGTATGTGGGGGAGATTGAAATGCTTGATTCTAAGCATGTGCTGAGAGTTGATCAAGTGGAGCTAGAGACTGTGTTTCCACAGATAGGAGGGATAGTGAAGATAGTGAATGGGGCATATCGTGGTTCGAATGCAAAGTTGTTGGGTGTGGATACGGAGAAGTTCTGTGCTAAAGTGCAGATCGAGAAAGGTGTCTATGATGGAAGAGTCATCAAGTCCATTGAGTACGAGGACATATGCAAACTTGCTTAGTTAATATATCTTTCGACCAAATCAGATTTTACAATGCTTGTATTTCTGCTTGAACATTATCTTTTATCTCCAAGTGAATTATTATGATTCCTGATGGATAGCCTCATGACCAAGGTACTGCAGATGATTCTATTTCAAACATGTTATTGACTGGAATATCTGGGTTTGTCACTGTTTTATGTCATGTATGGCATGGCTTGGCTTGTAGTGTCTTTGAGAAATCTTATGATGTTTTGGTTGTGCTTTTGCAAACGAAGCTTGAATGAAATAACTATAAGTTAATAAAAAAAAAAAAAAGAAATAACTATAAGTTCTGAGATTAAATGTCTATGAAAGGCATGAAGTTAAACACATACGCTTATGGGTTTAGGGCTATGAATGCTGTTGTTTTTTAGATTTTTTGACACCTATAATGGTTTCGTTTGACATTTTAATAAAACGAGTTACACATAAATTTCTCTACTACATAAAGATATCTTTGAAATTGTTCTGTTCTTCCATATTTTCATTCTCTTATATTTCTCGGTTCTCTTTTCTTCCATATATACACATCATCTGTAACAATTCTATACTCTTATATATTGTATATAAAATTTATATATACAAGTTCATAAATTTGGCTATCTAATTAAACATGAAATTTCAATAAATGTAGGAGACTGCAAACAACATAAATATTCAGACTTGAAAGTGGTAACTATTATTATCCACAAGTCTTTAAAAAGCAATTCCTTTAGGTAAGGCACTGAAAAAGCAAATTCCGGTTGGTCCACTGTATATAAAGTTTGGTTGGTTCTTGACTTCATGTCAAAATCCTCAATTCCAAATAAACAAAACAGAAAAAAGAAGAAGATCCAAATACTATTTAACAAGACTACAAGTCTACAAGTCCACGACTTGATCAATCTGTTCTTCATCTATTTCCTTATTCTCAGGGAAATCCAGGGTTTTTAAAATTCGTACTCTCTCTTTCTCTCTTGTTTCGTTGTCCCTCTCAAATCAGAAAAGTATCTGCCTTTTTAGTTTTTAAATTCATTCCCCTTCGATCTTTGCTTTTTCATCGGTGATTGTTCTCAAAAGGAGAATCTCTACTTTTTCAATTAAGCATTACCATTGTCCGTTTCCTTGTCTTTGGTTCTTTGATTCTCTTAAAGAGGATTTTTATACATATTCTGTCGAAACCCTTTTTCTGGGTTTTGTCTGCGTTTGTTTTCTTCTTCTAATTCAGAAATCAAACTAGTTCTCTGCGCTCAAAGTTTGTAGCTTTATTCAATCTGGGCACGTCGAATGGGCTAAAGAGGTGTAAGCAAATTCTCCATTGATGATCAACTGTTTAAAAGACTCAATACATGTTTTGATGAGTGTTTTGCTTTGTAAGATCCAATGCCCTTTAATCTGTTTCTTCTGTAAGCCATTCTCTTACTTATATGTGGCAAGTTAGCTGAAGTTGACCACTGTTGTTTCAGCCACTAGTGATGATGATGATGATCATGAAGAGGTTCTTGAACTTGTCGATGGTCATAGGAATGATGTGGTTAGAGAAGAAGTAGATGCAAAGGAAGACGAAGGTCAAATTGTTGGTGACACTCTCACTCTGAAAAGTAGTCTTAGAAAAGCGGATTCAAATTCAATAGAAGCTGAGAAGAGGGAGAAGAAGAAGGTACAATGGGTGGATGTGATTGGGAAGGAACTTGCTGAGATTCGAGAATTCGAACCTAGGTTGGTTTTCTGTTGTTGAAAATTGAGATTCTCAAAAATTTAGAGACAAACCTTAGTTTGGTCATAAGGTTTCTTTTCTGATGGTATCAAATTTGTTTTGGTTTCTTTAATTGAAAAATGACTTGTTTTAGCATCTATTTCTTCTTGTTTTATGGAGAATTTGATTGATTTTGGAATGATGTGATTCTTTCATTTTCTTGCAGTGAAGAAGATGATATTGACTCTGATCGAGGAAAAACCTGTGTTTGTGTTATCCTGTGATCTAAGGCAAAAGACAAAGTTGGTGGCTTCAGCATTAAAAATCCATATACATGGAGGTACATATAGAATCTGCATTTGTGTTCAACAGCCAATCTTAAGTTTGCGCGCTTGAAGCCATTTGATGATTTCTGATTTAACACGGAAGCATTCTTTTTCTTCTTCTTTAGAAGTGTTTAAAGTATAGGTCTTTAACTTCATTTGTTTCTTTAATCATTTAATGAAGTTCTTTCTCATTCAGATTGTGGAGCAAGTTATAAAATCTCTAACAATTGTTATGTGCATCGATATTTAGTTCTGCGTTTTAGTTCAAATGAATTTGACAGCACTATGTTGGATCAATGTCTAAGTGACAACTTACTTCAAGTTGAGAGAAAACTGCGGCTTGTTGTCTTTCACGCCGTCCTTTTTTACATTTATAACAAGTTTTTCTGTATAGATATCGCTGGTGGTGTGTTAGCACCTTCCACATCTAAGTTTCCTACTCATAATTCTGTCAAACTTGAATCAAATGTTATCAATATCATATTTGGATGCAAAAGTAGCAAGTGTGATAGGTCTAGTAGTGTAGAGTATATCTCAAGGCTTAGGCTTTGGAACACTTTTGTTTCAGTTTCTTCCACTTTAACAGAGGCTCAGTGAAGTCCATAAAGAATGTGAATAGATCTGTGGTCCACAAGTATGTTCTTCGGGTAAGTTTGTAACACCCAAGAACTGTTTCAAAACTCATCTGTTGCAAAACTCACCGCTCAATCTGTTAGACAAATCCATGAGCAAGAGGTATATACATTCTTGATTTGGGTCTCAGTATCTTTCCTGAGTTATTGTTTGCACTTAGCAGGCAACATAAGAATCATAAACTAAAATCTCCTCTGTTTCTTTAGAGAGCCAATGACACTTGCTCTGAACATTACCACTTCTGTCATGTTGCCTTGTCTTCTTCTTGCAGAATTGGTCATTGTTTAGAGTGAAAACTCAATTGCTTGTTTGTAATAAACGAATCCAAGTGAAGGGAGATGCGAATTTATGGAGAAGAAAAAGGATCAAACTAAAGGTACCATTACAATATGACACGTGGCTTAACACCAAGACTGAAGCATAGCCACTAAAATCATGCAAACTTGTGTAATCCGAAACTTTGAAGCTTTTGCGAAGAACCAACCAACAAACGTCTCATAATCTTTTCTTCAACTGACAAAATCCAAATAATCATCCTCTGTCTCTCTGGCTCTGGCTTGTGTCTGAGCTCGAACCGAAAGGAAAGAGTCTCACCATGTCTTTAGCTCCGAGCAGTTATCCATCTCTGTATTCTTCACCTTCACTGCCAAGAACACAGCAAACCAAGCAAAACCCTAGTGTGATCACTCAATCCAGTTTCATTTCCGCCAAAAGTCTCTTCCTTTCGAGCAATTCGAATTCTTTATGTAATACCCATGTTGCCAAACGCCGGAATTTAGCTTCGAAGGCGTCGGAGACTGAGTCGACGGCGAAAACTGAAGGAGGAGGAGAAGGAGAAGAAGAAGAAGAGAAGTATGAAACATATGAAGTTGAAGTGGAGCAGCCTTATGGTTTGAAATTCAGGAAAGGAAGAGATGGTGGCACTTACATTGATGCTATCCTACCCGGTGGATCAGCTGACAAAACCGGAAAGTTCACCGTTGGCGATAGGGTTATTGCCACAAGGTTTGTTCTTTCTTTCTCCTTGTTCCAATGGGATTAGCTTTGAGAGAGTGTGAAAATTTTGACTTGAGCCTTGAAAATTGAGAGTGCAGTGCAGTGTTTGGGACAGAGATTTGGCCTGCAGCTGAGTACGGTAGGACAATGTACACTATCCGTCAGAGAATTGGTCCCTTGCTTATGCAAATGGAGAAGAGAAATGGTTTGTTGAAATTCCCAAATTCCAGCTCTGTTTTTGTGTTATCTATCATTCTTGGGGTTGGTTATGTTTTAATCAATAATCACACTGTGTTGTGTCTTCTTCTCTTGCAGGTAAGGCTGAAGATACTGGTGAGTTAACAGAGAAGGAGATAATAAGAGCTGAGAGAAACGCCGGATACATTAGCAGTAGATTGAGGGAGATTCAGGTGAGCTCTCTTGTAAACTTATTTAAAAGTAATGAACTCTGGCTTGTGACTTGTAAGTGAGCTTTGGGTTTGTTTTTATAACTTTAGATGCAAAACTATTTGAGGAAGAAAGAACAGAAAGCTCAACGGGAGAAGGATCTTCGTGAAGGGCTGCAATTTTCCAAGTAAATCCTCAGTGAGTCACTAAAGGTTTATAGAAACCGAGAAGTGAGCATTGAAATGTGTGTAATTTGATGTAGGAATGGTAAATATGAGGAAGCATTGGAGAGGTTTGAGTCTGTGTTAGGATCTAAACCAACACCAGAAGAAGCATCAGTTGCAAGTTACAATGTTGCTTGTTGCTACTCAAAGCTTAATCAGGTAAAAGCTTTTTAATCTTTCATTTATTTGTATTTTGACTTGTAGAATTTATAGAGTTGTTTTTATAGGTTCAAGCTGGTCTCTCGGCTCTGGAAGAAGCATTGAAGTCAGGGTATGAAGATTTTAAGGTAAGTCCAAAGAGTTGTTATGTTTCAATTGAGACAGAGAGAAGGATGGACTTGTTTGTTGAAGCTGTGTAATTTGTTTTGTTTGCAGAGAATCAGAACAGATCCAGATCTGGAAACTCTCAGGAAGTCGAAGGATTTTGATCCACTCCTGAAGCAATTCGATGAATCTTTCATCAATGAGAGTGCCATTAACGCCATCAAGTCCTTGTTTGGCTTTAACAAGAAATAGTTCACCTGAAGTTTGTGTCTTTTGATGTGATCTGTTCATAGCTTCTCTTCTCTTTCTTGGCAATATATACTTGTGAGGAATTGTATTTGATTATAAAGGTGTTCTTTCTTATGAAATTCTTTAACCACTTCAGCCAATTTATACCTTTTCATATGAAATGACAATAAATCTTCAAATCTTTGGAATAAAAGTTTCATATTTGATGATTTCGAGATATTTCTGAGCATTGAGGAATCATGATTTATTCATATGATGATTGATTCAAAATTTCAGTTTCACATTACACATTCTCTTGTTCAAAATCATTACACTCGCAAGCTAAAGTAATCCGTCTCAATATTAGCCTATCTCCTCTTAGTATCCATATCCTGAAACAAGAGAGGCAAACAGATTCAGCTATAGAAACATGAATGCGGTGGATCTTTACTAAAGATTCAAGTATTTGAATGTCTAAACAAACCTGAGTTGTCCATTGGGTTGCCGACGGGAACTGGTTCAGGTTCCTTGATCTCAACAACAACACAGTCCGACATCAAGAACGTCTTTGCAACTGAAGCTGCGTGTTCCAAGCAACATCTCACAACCTAAAATCAAGATAAAGCCACTCAGGTTCATGGATCTTTGATGACCAATTTAGATAGCAAAAACAGTTATGTATTTGCATTAAAAACTGACCTTTGTTGGATCAATGATTCCTGCAGCCATTAAATCCTCGTACTTACCGGTTGCAGCATTGTAACCGAATTTCACGTTATCGTTGGAAAGCACCTACCAATGAATAAAGACATCTCTTCAAGCATCTGACTTGAAATCTAGAGGTGAAAAAGTGTGGAGGTTCTTATCTGTGGTTATTACCTTCTCGCTAACCACGCTTCCATTAACACCAGCATTCTTGGCGATCAGTTTAAGGGGATAACTCAGTGCTCTTTTAACGATATCCGCTCCAACCTGAAGTAAGGCAATCATCAGCAAAGTTAGAAAAACCACAGGTTCAGGAGTTCAAATCTGAATGCTTGACTGATTTACCTTTTCTTCATCATTATCAAGAGTGGCTTTAATGGCATCAACCTTGGAAGCAAGACGAAGCAGAGTGCAACCACCACCAACAACAATACCTTCCTCGACAGCGGCCTGAAGAATCGAAATCCTAATTAGTTATAGTTCAGGAGTATGCACATAACACGCTTCTAGTGCATCAGAAGAACAAAATCACCTTTGTAGCATTAAGAGCATCTTCAACTCTCAACTTCTTCTCTTTGAGTTCTGTCTCAGTTTGTGCTCCAACCTTTAACCAATTCAAAACGAGCTTAACTTAATATCTCTGGAACACATCTTATTCAGACAAAGGAAACCAATGGGTTTGTAGTTTACCTGAATCACAGCAACTCCACCAGAGAGCTTTGCAATTCTCTCATTTAGTTTTTCCTTCTCATAATCTTGCTCTGCTTGCTGCACAAACCAATTACCATTTCAATGTAACTACACTATCCACAAAAGGTAACAGAGATCCCATATTTGCTCTACTCTTTTACTATACCTCAATAAGATTTTTAATCTGTGTAACACGTTTTTTCACTGCATCCTGTGTGCTTCCATCACCCACTATGGTCGAAGTCTCCTTCGTGAGGACGACCTTTGAGGCGTTACCAAGAACCTCTTTTCCAGCTTTGTCAAGTGAAAGACCAACTTCCTCTCGGATCACAGTTGCTGCAAGCGAAGATAGAAAATTAGGACAAGATTAAAGCTACAAAGATTTGCCTAAACATAGGGTTCATCAATGCACACAGAACTTACCTCCAGTTAGAATGGCAATATCGTCAAGGTATTGGCTCTTGCGCTCTCCAAATCCTGGAGCTCTGAGAGCTGCAATCTTCAGTGTACCTCTAAGCTTGTTTACAACAAGAGTAGCTAAAGCTTCTTGTTCAATGTCTTCTGCAATTATTAATATTGGGTATCCACCCCTAATTGCATCCTCCAAAACACCAACAAGATCTCTTGCATTGGTAATTTTCTTATCAACGAGAAGTAACTGCAATCATACAATACATTAGAGATCCTTGTTATACTCAGATATAAATATCTTTAGTGGCTATATTGTCTGCCAACAGAATTCATCTTCTACTCAGATTCAAGAAACATCTACCTTGCAATTGTCGAACTCGACAGACATTTTCTCGCTGTCTGTCACAAAGTAAGGGGAGATATAACCACGATCAAATTGCATTCCTTCCACGACGTAGAGGTTGTTCTCGGCACTTTTACCCTCCTCAAGGGTCACCACACCTTTCCTGCCCACTTTGCTCATTGCTTCAGCAATCATATTTCCAATTTCGTCGTTGTTACCAGCACTAACAGCTGCAACATCTGCAAGTTCACTGTCTTCCACCTACAACGACATGACTTACTTTCAGAACCTCTTGAAAAAGACTCTTCACATATTAAAAGAAAGAAAGTTTTATAAATTTTTTACCTCCTTAGACATTTTCTTGAGCTCGGTAACCAAAGCCTTTGCTGTCTTCTCAATACCTCTGGTGATCAAAACAGGGTTTGCACCAGCAGCTACCACCTGAATGATATAATGTTAAAATTAGTAAAAACAACTTTTTGAAGTTTCACAAAGAGAAAGCTGAAAGAAGAACGTTACACAGACCTTGACACCCTCAGCAATAAAACCTTGAGCAAGAACAACAGATGTTGTTGTACCGTCACCAGCCAAGTCATTGGTTTTGGCAGCCGCTTGCCTCACAAGCTTAGCACCAATGTTCTCAACCGGGTCTTCCAACTCAACCTACAGGAGAAAGTTTGAAATTTTAAGACTCATTTTGAATGACAATGAACATCGTTACCAGAGGGATATCAACTCTATACCTCTCTTGCAACAGTCACACCATCATTAACAATTCTTGGTGATCCATACTTGCTCTCAAGAACAACATTTCGTCCTTTGGGTCCAAGTGTAACACCAACAAGGTCTGCGAGCTTGTTGACACCAGCCTAGTACAACACAAAATTAGAACCAGTAAAAAATGTAAACCTTTAGCGCTTGTGGTAAAATTTGGGAATGAAGTTTCCATTAAGAAAAAAAAAAGATACTTACTTGAAGTTTCCATTAAGAAAAAAAAAAAAGATACTTACTTGAAGTTTCCTTATGGTAGTCCCATCTTTGTTGAAATGCAATTCCTTGGCGGCACATACAATTGCAGAACCAGATCTTCTGGGTCTAGGACACACACTTTGTCTCCTTCCAAAAGAGCTTGAAGACAACTTGTTGATAAGTTTCTTATCAGATTTGTGACCATTTGGAGCAACCATTGAACCAATGGAAGACGTGGCAGTGAAAGTTGACGCCATTTTTCACTTCCAAACACAAACAAAATTCAGCAATTAGATAACATTTCTAAGATATGAAAAAAGACTCTTCTTTTCATCTATGTATCGTCAAACACAATCACCATAACCCAAAGAAACAACAACCCAGTAAGCTAAAGTAATGAATTTTCACAACAAAACAGACGAAAGGCGACACCTTTCAAAGCAGAGTTTAGTAAGAACAGAATTGACAATCTGAAGAAACACTAATCCATAAATTTTATTAAAAAATACCCAAAATCATCGGAGTAATGAACTAATACAAGTATTCAAAAGCTAACAACAAATTCTTATCCAAACAACAACACATACACAAAAACTGTGGCATTAAAAATGCAGAGGCTAAACTGTTCCATTAAAAGAGTAAGGATTAAGAAACTAACAGAAGTAGAGCGACGACGCAGATGAGGTTTTATCACCGGAAGTTTTAGTTTCCGGATAAGAAAACGGGAGCTGAAGCAAAGAAGTAGGTTTATCTCCTTACTCTCGCTTGGAAGGTGCTTTTAACGTTCCCTTACCTCTTTCGAGCTTTGAGTTAATCTCAGCCGTTGGATTCAACACTCCGGATTTAAATTGGGCCTATTTGGGCCTTAATTCTTGCTCCTTTTCCCAGATAGAACAACCAACGATGGAATCAGTGAGAGTAATATATAATTTATTTATTTTTAAAATGATTTTTTCCGATTATTCAATAATAAATTTGCGAAATGCTCGAGGAAATAATTTTTGTAGTACTATTTATTTTGTGAGATATTTTCGTAGTGATATTAATGTGGCTGGAATAAAGGAAGTATTATTGTATTTTTTTAAAACGATGGAGAAAAAGGTGAAAAAGAGAAAAAATAATTTAAAAATATATAAAAAAGGGATCTTGGAGGTATTTGAATCGAATCGACGTGAACGAACAAAACCACTTTTGCCTCTTCTCTCTTCTCTCTTCTCTCTTCTCTCTTCTCTTAGCGGCTACGATTCAATCTCTTAAACCCTAGATTCCTTCTGACTTCTTTTTGTTCTGATATTTGTGATTTGGGTTTTTCTCACTCTTATTGGTCATTATCCGACGACAAGGATCTATCAGTCTTCGCTGCCTTAAGTCTGTTCTCATGTCTACCGTTGCTCCTCCTTCTGATCGTATCCTTTGCCTTTGTTTCTCATCTCCTTCAATTCTTTTTCGAATCTATGTTCCTGAATCTTAATTCGATTCATATAGTGCTTAATGATGTCATTTCCATCTGTTGTTCCTGCAGCTAGCTAAGTGAATAAATTGATTGCAAAAATCAGTTTTTTTAGTCTTGTTGAAGAAATATATTTGTTTCCTTCACTTATCTTGTTTTTTCAGAAGCTGCTGATCTATTGAAGAAACTGTCTTTAGATTCAAAGGCAAGGACTTTGGACATCCCCGAGCCAACTAAGAAGGTAAAGTTACATTTTTAATGTCTCTACAGATTTTGTTACTCCAAGCAGAGTTCTCATGGTATCATTATCTGTGCAGACGGCTGTTTACCAATATGGAGCTACGGATTCGAAGGGTCAAGTTCCTTCTTTTGATCGATCTTTGTCACCGATGCTACCCAGCGATGCCCTGGATCCTTCTGTTTTCTATGTTCCTAATGTGTACCAGCAGCCCTACTTTTATGGTTATAAGCTTTATTTCTATCTCTTCAGCCTTCTACAGTCTAGAATTATTGTTATATCTACTTTTAATCTTTCAGGTTATGGGAGTGACTACACAGGTTATACCAATTCCGAGAGTGTTGACATGACATCAGTACGTGCGTTAATCTTTTCTTACGAGCAGCTCGTATTCAGACTATATACCCTTTCTTTTCTCCTTACCTTTTGCCCTGCTTAATCATTCCAGGGAGCTTATGGAGAGAACGCATCTCTTGTTTATCCGCAGGGATACGGGTATGCAACCTATCCTTACTCACCAACAACAAGCCCTACTCCACAACTTGGTGGTGATGGACAGTTGTATGGTGCTCAACAGTACCAGTATCCTTTTCCTCTAACAGCCAGTAGTGGGCCTTTCGTTTCATCTGTTCCTGCCTCTACCCAAAGTAAGCTCTCTACAAACAAAGCAGCCAACTCTGCATCTGCTGGTGCTTCGAAGGGTGGTTTCCATAAAGGAATGAATGGTTCAGCTCCTGTTAAACCATTGAATCAGAGTGCTCTTGGAGGTGGTCTTGCTGCTGGTTATCAGGATCCCAGGTATACCCATGATGGGTTTTACAATCCTGTGTCATGGCACGATGGCTCTAACTTCGCAGATGTGCAGAGGTCTGTTTCTGCCAGTGGAGTTGCATCCTCATATTCTAAGGCTAACAACAATGTACCTGCGTCTAGGAATCAAAACTATCGCTCCAATTCGCATTACACAGTATGATATGGAAGTCAGTTTTATATGCTAAAGCTTCTTCTCTATCTGAATCCCTATATATGATAGCCTCAATCTAATCTTTGCAGAGTATGTACCAGCCTGCATCCATGTCAGGTTATGCACCTCAGGGTTACTACGACAGAGTGTACCCAAACAAGTCATATGGTCAGTATGGTAGCACGGTGAGATCTGGTATGGGCTATGGTTCTTCTGGATATGATTCAAGAACAAACGAAAGAGGATGGCTGACTACAGACAACAAATATAGAAGCCGGGGAAGGGGTAGTTACTTCTATGGAAATGAGAACATTGATGGCTTGAATGAACTAAACAGGGGCCCTAGAGCCAAAGGTACGAAGAACCAGAAGGACACCATAGAAGCTAGCTTAGAGGAGGTGAAAGAGCAGACGTTTGATAAATCAAATATAACAACAGGGGCTGAGGAGATTGTAACATGTGTTCTTCCAGATAGAGAAGAGTACAACAGAGACGATTTTCCAGTTGAGTATAAAGATGCTATGTTCTTTATCATCAAGTCGTACAGTGAAGATGATGTGCATAAGAGCATCAAATATAATGTTTGGGCTAGCACCCCAAATGGAAACAAGAAGCTTGATGCTGCATATCAGGAGGCTCAGCAGAAATCTGGTGGCTGCCCTGTGTTTCTCTTCTTCTCGGTTTGTACCTAATTCTTAGTTTATTTCATGTTGTGTATTCGTTTTGTTTCCCGATGCTCAGCTGTATATACCCCAATTGTCTCCAGATCAACGCAAGTGGACAATTTGTTGGGCTTGCAGAAATGAAAGGACCAGTTGATTTCAACAAAAATATTGAGTACTGGCAACAAGATAAGTGGACTGGCTCATTTCCCCTCAAGTGGCATATTGTGAAGGATGTGCCCAACAGTTTGCTTAAGCATATTACTCTTGAGAACAATGAGAACAAACCTGTTACCAACAGTAGAGACACACAAGAGGTAAGTGTTTACATTTGTTGATCTATATCTACCAGCAGTATTTTCCACTATCCAGTGTTCAAATTCTTTACATTGGGATCATGTAGGTTAAGTTGGAGCAGGGTTTGAAGGTTGTAAAGATTTTCAAGGAGCATAACAGCAAGACATGCATTTTGGATGATTTCTCGTTCTACGAGGCTCGAGAAAAGACTATTTTGGAGAAGAAAGCTAAGCAGCAACAATCCCAGAAGCAGGCAAGAGAAGAAACGGTTAATTCCATAAATTTTAACAGATGCATTTACATTTGTCTTCTCTAATATTGAAATGCACCATATTTTAACAGGTTTGGGAAGGAAAAACCAATGATGAGAACCAGACTGCTGTTGTGAGTTTGAACAGAGACTGAAGCGGAATCAAAACATGGAAGATCTGACTGCTGCTCTGTTTCTTGGCCCCCTAGGAAGTAGTTAGTCTCCATTATGTTTTTGGTCATCTTTTTTTTCGATTTCGTTCTTTTTTTCTCTGCGGTTTTAATTTGGTTAATTTCCTTTTTATGGGTGTTTGTTTTCTATTGATCCTACCTTGTAAAATGCGTATAAAGATCCCTGCATATGGTGGGAAGATGAAGAAGTAGAGAAAGATAAAATCAGTGTTGGGTTTGTTTTCGCTTTAGGTTAGACAGATTTTCATTTTTCTTCTGTTTCTGGTTTGGACATGACTCTGTTGAGTCTTCTCTTAATTTCTTCTAGATTTTGCTTTCAATCTGAAAATTTAGTATCTTCTTTCTTCCTCCATTTGTCCTCTGTTTCCAAGTTCTCAAAATCTAAAATTTAAAATGTTTGTTTTTGTTTATACTCTATAAACCTTTGTAGTTAGACCATTAATGTTTGTGTTAAACTAGCATTAAATGAAGTAGTTGCAACTTGCAATTGCAAGAGAGAGATATCTATTCGTGTCGGATCCGACGTGGCAGAAGTATCTAACATCTATCTCGTAATTACGTGATTAACATAGAAATCTGTTTTTTTCTTCACCCAAACCAAACCTTTGCCACCTAAAAATCTTACCATCTGGGTGACAGTTGCCAAGATAGAGCTTGCTCTTGTCGCAATCCTATAATTTTCAGATTGATTGTTGGTGGGTTTGTGTAAATGGCGGCTCTTTTAGGCAGATTTTGCCGGAAACTGAGTTTTCCGAGCTTGAGTCATGGAGCTAGGAGGGTATCGACGGAAACTGGGAAACCATTGAATCTATACTCTGCTATTAATCAAGCGCTTCACATCGCTTTGGACACCGATCCTCGGTGAGCTTGCATTACGAAAGCTTGTTACTTTTTGTCTAAATCATTTGATCCCTAGGTTAATAGACATTCTAAGGAAGAAGATCCAACATTAGGGATAGTTCGTTAATTAGTTACACCTATAGTTGTTTTAGAGTCTGACTTAAGTGTTGTTGTGGAAGGTCTTATGTATTTGGGGAAGATGTTGGCTTTGGTGGAGTCTTTCGCTGCACAACAGGTTTAGCCGAAAGATTTGGGAAAAACCGTGTCTTCAATACTCCTCTTTGCGAGCAGGTATCATTCCTTGACCTGCTTCTGTTTTCATTTCTTAAGTTAGTGTTTATTGATGAGACATTCATTTAAGCTTTGACTGGATTCAGGGCATTGTTGGATTTGGCATTGGTCTAGCAGCAATGGTGAGTTGTTCTTTGTGTTATTATTCTGTTTATGTTGTGAACTGATTTTAACATCTATTGGTGTTCGATTTTGATAGGGAAATCGAGCAATTGTGGAGATTCAGTTTGCGGATTATATATATCCTGCTTTTGATCAGGTAAAATGTTCTCTCTTTAAACCAACTATATGATTTTCGCCGTCAGATTTTTGAACGATTTTGTGATTCATAGATTGTTAATGAAGCGGCAAAGTTCAGATACCGCAGTGGTAACCAATTCAATTGTGGAGGTAAATCTTTCATCTTTACATTTCTACTTGATTTGACATTAGTAATCTCTTTTACTCATTACGGTTTATATGGATCTTTATAGGACTTACGATAAGAGCACCATATGGAGCAGTTGGTCATGGTGGACATTACCATTCACAATCTCCTGAAGCTTTCTTTTGCCATGTCCCTGGTATTAAGGTTGTTATCCCTCGTAGTCCACGAGAAGCAAAGGGACTGTTGTTGTCATGCATCCGTGATCCAAATCCCGTTGTCTTCTTTGAACCAAAGGTAATTCCTTTTCTCTCATACCAACCAAATCAGCTTCTTAGCACCTCTTCTAAAGTCTTGAAACGTTGATATTTCCTTCAGTGGCTGTATCGTCAAGCAGTAGAAGAAGTCCCTGAGCATGACTATATGATACCTTTATCAGAAGCTGAGGTATAGTAAGTTCATTTTTTGCCGTCTATTTTAGGAGATGACGATCTCACTATTAGGAGTTATGAACAGGTTATAAGAGAAGGCAATGACATAACCCTCGTTGGATGGGGAGCTCAGCTTACCATTATGGAACAAGCTTGTCTGGACGCAGAAAAGGTTTTTAGCTTTATCTTTCAACTCGATGATGATTGATTCGCAGGTAATAACTCAGGTCTTGAGTTTATGCAGGAAGGAATATCATGTGAACTGATAGATCTCAAGACTTTGCTTCCTTGGGACAAAGAAACCGTCGAGGCCTCGGTTAAAAAAACTGGAAGACTTCTTGTAAGTCTTAACTTAATTAATTGGCAATGTCGAAATTTGTTTTGTCTGGTCGGTCTTATAGACTGTTTTGCTTGTGCTTGGGGTTGCAGATAAGCCATGAAGCTCCTGTAACAGGAGGTTTTGGAGCAGAGATCTCTGCAACAATCCTCGAACGTTGCTTTTTAAAGGTTAGTAAAAGTAAAGGTTTAATTCATCCTCAAGACTATTCTTAATTGGTGTTTTTAACTGTCGTTTCTTTTGCAGTTAGAAGCTCCGGTAAGCAGAGTTTGTGGACTGGATACTCCATTTCCTCTTGTGTTTGAGCCATTCTACATGCCCACCAAGAACAAGGCAAGTTCATCTTCTCTTATCATTCCTCTATTCCAGCCCAAAACGCAGTTTCTAACTAATCTTTTCTTCTTGTCGGATGCAGATATTGGACGCGATCAAATCAACTGTGAATTACTAGCCGTTCTATCTGTTTCTTAGAGAACCAAGAACTGTAGTTTACTGTTTACACTAAGAAATATAATTGCATGTCTTTGTTATCCATTCGTCTAATGTAATTGCCAATTCACTTTCTACAAATGTAAACGCTGCCTACTATAACATGTTATAATAGGACTAGCTTTTAGGTCAGCTAATGTGTACAAAGATTATTATGTATTGAAAGATGAAGCTGATGATCCTAACATTTGACAAACTAAAGCTGCAAATTGTTGAAAGAGTATATTAAAGGGAAAACAGACTTGATGTCTTATTACAGAACAATTAGCAAAGAACTAGGTAACTCTTTAATGATTGGGTATTGCTCACTGAAACAAACAGAACAGGAAACAAACAAGATACTTGGTAGACATTTTTAGAACAAAAAAAAGAAAAGAGATTTCTTGGCATCTCCATTCTGTATTTACAATTTCTGGTTTTGAATCTGAATCATCTCAAGTTCTTGTCCAAGGATAATAACCTCACCAAGCGCTTGCCACCACCCGAGATCTCTAGTTCATGGCAATCCAAACGTGAACATGGTTTTTGCTTTCAATTTTGTAGGCTCTGATTTCGAATTGAAAGAGTCAAAATCAAACCATTGATTGATTAAGAGGTAAGAAAATGTAAATGATAAAGAAAGTTGAACTTACATACTATTATTGCTGGACCTTCCTGAATTCTGTAAGAACTGGGTAGATATTCTCAAATGCGGTATAAGTCTCTTCTCTCATCTGATAGTGTAACCTCAGGATTTCATCAGAAGACAAGCTTTTTCATGGAAAAAATTGTAATCATTTGAGAGAGAACGCATAATTATTACCTTGGCTCCAGTTATAACAATCTTTCCTGACACAAAAATAAGCAGTACAATCTTTGGCAGTTTCATCCTATATATCAATCCTGGAAATAGCTCAGGCTCGTACTGGCATCAATGATGAGAGAGGTACAAATCATCAGACCGATTAACTTCATCTTACAAGTATATATGATCACAATGCTTGAGATCACTTACACTTGAGAAAGCACTATGAGAGTATGCAAGACCTTCAAGCCTAATGGGGAATTTGACATCACATGAGCCTACAATGTTCTGAATCTTGAAATCCTGCAAAATGTAATCAGCAATTTTATTACTATACAATATACGTAGTTTTTCCTTCCAATAAAAACAAACGAATTGCTGATTGAGATAAAAAAGAATAATACAGTGGATCAGGACCAGAGATAGACATATGAGTACCTTGAACTTTGCAGGAAAGCCAAGCTTTTGAACAATCCGAGCATACTGGACAATGAAAAGGAATTCTTTAATATAACAGAGAACAAATCCCTACTAGAATTATATCAAGTTTGTAACTACAGTGTCGCTAAAAGAAGAACGTCAGACCGTATTGAGATGAGCTAATTACCTTTCTTGCAGCCAGCTTTGAAAGATGTTCACTTTTAGCTCCGGTACACACCTGAAATTGGACAACATAAATGCCACGTTAAAACAAGGACATGGTGGATCAAGCCATAAGAGAAAAGATGACCAAAGAAACTATAAGACTTTTTAACATACCATTTTCCCAGAAGCAAAAATTAACGCTGTTGTCTTTGGCTCTCTGATCCTCATGATTACAGCAGCGAAACGCTGGAGCATAAAACATTAACGATTAAAACCAAATCCGAAAATACAAACCAAAGTAGTGTAAGTTGCTATAGCCAATCAGAGTTACTTGTAAGTATTAGCATTCATTTATAAATACAGAAATGGAGACCAAGTAAATGAACGATTACTAAAAAAAATCACAAAGAAAGCAAACCTTGGGGTTATATTCAGCATTCCGAGCCTGCAAAGCTATGGCTTTAAGATCAAGCTTGCAGTCTAAGTTCACTGTAGAGACAATATTTCTGAAACAAACCAAAAAAAAGGTAAGATCTTGTGATTCACAAAAGCAAAAACTCTCAGAATAAAAACATAGAAATGAAGACCAGAGACACAAAAGAGAACTCACTGAAGAGTAGGAACAATCCCTGAAGGATGCTTAGTAAGGTCAACTGGCTGGCTCCCTTCCATTCCTTGATCAGCCATTCTCTAACATAAGAATCATCATAAACACACACATCAGCTATAAATCTCTTCTTAAGCAAGGCAAACAGAAATTCATGTCGATCTAAACCAAAAAGCATCCACGAACAAAGATTGTTTTAAAGTTTTACAAGTCGAATTTTGTAGAGCAAATCAGGTTGTCTTAAAAAGGGTTTAGATAATTGAAATCTAGAAACGTTGTTTCACAATCACAAAAAAAGAAAAGCTATGAACACACAACTTGAAAACATGAGATCCAAATTCGTAACAAAGCAACTACGAAGAAACTCAATTGAAATCAAATCCGTGGAATTGAAACCATTAGAAACAAAGGGTAAAGAACAAAATCAGACCTTTCGCTAGTTAGCAATCCGGAATTTCGAAATCTAGGGTTTCGTAAACCCAAAAGATTGAAAGAAATTCCCCCAAAAAGGCGAAAGGAAGGTGAATGATTTGAAAAAGGAGTAGGCTTTTTATACAAAGATGAGAAATTTTTAGAGAGGGAAAGAGATTTGTAAATTGGGATTATATATAAAGGAGAGAGTTTTGATTTTCAATATCGCTCTCTCTCTCTCTGGGTTCTCTGGGGATGAGATTTGTGATCGCGTTTTGGATCTGAGGAGCTTATGGATACATTATAACATATATATACTTTCCTAAACTACCCTTGACTCTCTTTGTCGGACGAGGCTAATTCGGGGAATTCAGCTTATTAGATCTTAATGTTACGGTCTTTGCTGGAGTTTTAGGTTAACGTCCACTCTTTGTTTGCCACGTGGTATATGTGTGTGCTCGTGCGTCGTATTTTTATTTTGAGTTTTTTTTCTTCTCTCTTTTTATTTTTATTTTCTTGTCTTTTTTGTTCAACTTTTGTTAAAAAAGTTGAATAATACTGTAATCTTTATATAATAAATTACAAGTCACTTTTAAAAAAACTGCAACCCTCTCCATCTGCCATGTGGCTTAAGTCTCAATTCTTACTCTTTCAATTTATTATCTGAGAGAAAAAACATTGACAAAAAAAAAAAATCAATTCAACTGTTTTACACCCACGATCACAAAATTATCCATTTCCCCTCTCCTCTTCAACAATGAAACAAAATCATTTTTCTGATTGTTGTTTCTTGCGACTTCTATCAAGTAAAAGAGATTGAAGTTTCCATATTCATCCAATTTTCGATTTCATAATTTCTTCTTAGTTTTCAAAATTATGAATTTTACATTTGGATTTGCATGTTAATTTCTCTACTTTTTATATTCGTCTACCCAAGATCTGCATTTAAATTTTGCCTGTGCAACGCACAGGCCTTAACACTAGTGCTCTATAACTCACGACGACGGGTCTCACCAAAAAAAAAAAAACTCACAACGACGGACTTATCACAATTCACAAACCAGTAGACGACTAACAATTATTGCATGGTTTCATACTTTCATGTAAGAGATCATCAATTAGTGTCCAGGCCCTTTCTGTCGAGTACGTGGCGATTCACTTCGCGTGACACCAGCTTTTAAATTTTCATATTGTTGTGCTCCATTTTCTTCCCCTTTAATAACAAAATCAAAAACAGATGAGATAAGGAACTGATTTTTGTAAATGCGTAAAATTTTATTGTATGATATCAAGATAAAGATTCAAGACGGTCACTTACTCGGCAAGGTTCGGCCCACAGTTGTGTTATACGCAGAGAGTAAGAGAATAATCAAAGTGATTAAGGATAGAACCTGACGATTCATTTTTGGATTAAGACTAATCTAAGAGATAATGTAATAAGTTGATGCTACAATACTTATATATACAAGGGGATTTGGTGAAGTGTTAATATATCATTAATATATTAAAGTTCAGTTCGTTAATGTCAAAAAGAGTTCGTTAATACCGCATATTGGTCGTAAGTCGTAACTTTGGTGGCATTTTACACATGTATAACTCTAGCTTTTATAAATTCCAACTGATGTTTACGCGCAAACAAAAGATTACATAGTAATGCAATCATGGATTTAACACAAGGAAAAAGCATTTCTTCAAGTTAAGTTTAGTAAAAGACAACATATTTTGGTATTGCATGAGTAAGACATATTTAAACGACTCGGTCTAACTAGACATACAATATTAAATCCAAAATTACAATTCCAGTTGATACAACAATGGTGTGAATGTAAAATTACTTTTTATGTTACTAATTAATTTATTACTAACACAATTCATACTAATTAAGCCACCATTTTTGTAATTTCACCATTATGGCATTAAACTTGCCGATTTAACAATAAGTTGCAAAAGTGGCTTTGGATTTAAGGTCATCTTCAATCAAAGGGGTATAAGCATCTTCAATATTGGTCGTAAGTCGTAACTTTGGTAGCATGTTACACATGTTAACTTTATATTTTATAAATTCTAAGTAATGTTTAGGCGTAAACAAAAGATTACATAGTAATGCAGTCATGGATTAACAGAAGGAAAAAGCATTTCTTCAAGTTAAGTTTAGTAAAAGACAATATTTTGGTTTGCATGAAGAAGGCATATTAAACGACTCGGCCGAACTAGACATACAATTTAAATCCAAAAGATTTATACAATTCTATTTGATACAATTCTGATGAACGTTAAGTTACTACTTTTTATGTTTTAAATTCTATTAATTTATTACTAACACAATTCATACTAATTAGGCCACTGTTTTTGTTATTTCACCATTAAGGTATTAAACTTGCCGATTTAACAAACTAAGTTGCAAAAGTGGCTTTGGTCGACAACAAAAAAACACAGAAGCGACTTACAGAATCCGGTAAAAGATTTGTTCAAAAACAACCAAAAAACACAAACTGAAAGATTTTTGTTTTCCAAAGATGTAGAGCATTCAACCAAATCTGAGAAACTTATGTACAGACAAAAGATCAGATTTTGGTAGAACCGAGATTTCATGATCACACCAAAAAGCTTACGTTGCTTAGGGAACATGTTTTAACTAGAATCCGTTGGTGCATTGCTATCTTGGGACGAGGTGAACAAAGTGCTAAACGGCCATGGGATCGAGAATCCGCTTCCATCATTGTCCTCGTTCTCCTCCTCCTCGTCCTCCTCTTCTTCTTCTTCTTGGCGCCTGCTGTTCTCAGCTCCATGGCTGCTTGTAGCAGGAGCACCACTGCCTCCATTGTTATCACTTGTTGTTGTTACTGAGTCAGTCTTGGGTTCATCTGCAGGTAACTGATATCTGCAAACAGGGCATGAACTGTGAAGCTCAAGCCATGGTAACAGGCAGTCACCATGAAACTTGTGCTCACAGGGCATCCGCTTTGCCTCAGTTCCAATCTCAAAATCATCTAAGCAAACCGAACACTGCAGAGTCTCTTCAATTTTCACAGTACCCAAAGCCTCAACAGCTTCTTTTTTAGCTGGAGGTGTCCCATATCTGTTGGGATCATTCTCAGCTAGACGCTGAAGCAACATTTCAAATCCAGGCCCAATGAAATAGTCACCTAAAGAACCAGCAGGTACAGAATCCATATCAGCAGAGCTTTGAACCGTGATTGTCTGATTGGAGGTATTGATCAAGATCACCCGTCCCGGATTATTATCTCCATTACCAGTAGTCTCAGATTCTACAGACAAGCCAGCTCGTATCCCCTGAAGCAACTGCAAAACAGCAGCAGAATGTCTTCTCCTTCTCCTGAGAATCTCTTGAAGCTGCCAATCCAAATCATTTTCTTCACCGTTGTTTTCGTTACTCTCGGTCTGTGCCTCGTTTTGATTATCTTCAACAGACTCAACACTCTGGTTTCTCCTACGGCGCACAGGATCAGTCATAAGTTCCATCAATATAGGAGCCCAAAGAGAGTTGTTAGCTCTAACATCAGCCGGATCAGAAGAATCATGATCGTCGTCTTCCATCTCTTCAACAAACCCACTTTGACAAAAGGGGCATTTGATCTCAGCTTCCATGACTGGATCCACAGTTTGAGAGCACATGTGACACCAATACCTCGTTGCAATTGCTTCTTCCATGGCCGATTCCTTCTACCTAGAAATGACCCCCAAAAAAGACAATTTCACACAGAATAAGAACGAATATACATCTGTCGGTTACGGTTCGAAACCCTAAGAGCGAATAAGCAACATGAAACCCTAAGAGCGAATAAACAACATGAAACCCTAGAATCTGTCATAAGACCCAATCATCAATACACAGAAAAACCCAAAAAATATCAAAAGTAAAAAGAAAATGACTTTATAGAAGAGAAATGAAAAGGGTTTTGAAATCGTCAATCGCACACCAGAACATTCAAAGCAGACGAAATCGTAAAGCTGATTTAAAAACAAAGTCATCGATCAAAGATATAAGCTTTTTATTTCGGATTCAAAATCGAAAGAAGAATCTGCGTTCCCATTTGAAACCCTAACCAAGAATCAGCCGTACAGATGATAATGAAACGTTAAATTACAGAAATTAGCAAACCTTTTGAGTCTTGTTTTGACAGCAGAGACCGACAAGCACAGAAAAATGTAGCGATGAGGAAAGATTTTGAGTTTTGAAATTTGAAGAAGAAGAAAAGAAAAAAAAGAGAGAAAAGGGTTTTTGTTTATGTACGAAAGGAGGAGAATTGTCGTGAGAAATTAGAAAAGTAGAAAGGAAAAAAAAAAAAAAAAAGAGATAGGAGAGAGTTTATCCAAGAAGAAAAAAGGATCCTCCTCTTCTTCCAGATCCTTCTGGGTTTCTCTGTGGGTCTTATTCTTAATTAGCTGCTCATTTTTTTAATCACCTCATTAATTCCAGTAGACTTTTCTACAAACATCAACACATGGATTTGATTCTTAGGCTTTTTCTTTTTAGCTCGATTTACTCGTGGGCTTTTTAGTATACTTTTATTAGATGGGCCTTTTTCATGTTAAATTATTGGATAGCATTGTCCACATGAAATTATGAATTCTATAACCGGAATTTTATGAACGGCTGGTGATGTAGTGTGACAGTATTACTAGATTACTACAAACCATTTGGTTACATGTCTCTGATCGTTTCACTCTATAACAAGGACGAAACATATCAACGCCCGGAATCTTTTACTATCTCCATTTGCAAACAAAAACATAAAAGAAAGTATCTTCATTCCATTTACACGCAAGAAAAAAACTTGGAAAGAATTATATGATGGATGCATCAAGTAGATTCCGACTCTAATCTAAACCATATATCCCCAAAAATAACATATTTTCAGACAAAATAAATAATGAAAATCAAAGTAGAAACAGTGCTTACTTGTCCTCAACATATAGAAGAATCTCATCTTTTGGTAGCTGTTATGTAATCTTCTTGCTCTACTTTGTCTGGACACTACGACTCCTCATAATTCTCCCTCGCTTATGGAAAACTGATGAATAACATTTTTATCAGCTTCAAAATCCGATAACTAAACCTCAACAGACAACTCGTTTGTTTAGATACCCAAATGGTCACACTACCATTCTTGAATCATATTGAAGCCATCCCCGTTTGCTTCAAGCCCTTCTCTTCCTATAAAAAAAATTGAAACCAGATTTATCTTATTATTTGTGATAACAGTGATCAAGATATAGTGCAATAGTACCAAGAACATATGTCGAATCAATGGAGACTAACCGGTTGCTTCAAGCCCTTCTCTTCCTACATAAAATTTGAAACCAGATTTTTCTTATTATTTGTGATAACACAACAGTAACAAGATATAGTGCAACACAACCAAGAACAATGTTGAATCAACGGAGACTAACATCAATTGAATGCAATGATCTGGATATGGGATACTTAGTATGAGAGCCTTCTGCAGCAGATGGTGATCCATTGTTCCCAGCTGAATAATGATTCACCTACAAAGGACACAAGGATGACAAAATTTGCATTGGCTGAGAAACTTCTTTAATGTTGTTAGATGAAACTTCCCATTATTATCAGTTTATCACTATGTACTGTCTTAAAGTATATCCTAAAACATCATTGCTAGAGGATCTTGTTCTTTGCATCTCTACCATAGAAAAATAAAGCGTTAAAAGGCAGAGAAGGATCATCACAGTTTCCTTCTAGCTAATTAATCCCAGACTCAGTAGTCAGTAGATTGCATTGCATTCACTACGGCTCAAACAGTTTAAAACAAGAATTCAGAAACTCTTTCTAGATGGAAGGCTTGGTAGAGTAAACAGGCATGTCGAAATACAGTCTTGAGTGATAAAATTACAAAAACATGAAGTGACCTGAAAACATATAAACTGGAAACAAGGGGACAGCGAAGAAAGTAGAAATTAGAAAGAAAAAAACCTGTGTTTCCTTTGGTGAATTTATATTGGTTTGGCTTTCTTCAAATAGAGAGGTGTAGTAGGCTGGGTCGTAGATGGAACCACCCAAGATTTCTTCAGAACCTGAACATTGTCTAGCTATAGCAGGAGTTGGTGGATTCAAGAAGCTACTTCGTAAATCCGAATCAGTTTCACGAGGAAGTGAAGTGTCCACGATAGAAGCCCCCAGTCTATAAATCTGAAACCATAAAAGCGAGGATGAAAGCCTCACAAAGAACCCAATCATTTCCATCGCCATTGTCAGTTTCACTGAAAATATGAAAAACGTTCCATACGTCTCAGCTGAAATGCTCCTGCATCAACAATGGAATGTTTTGTCAATAAAAGTGCATCACATGAACAATGTTTCCGATAATCGAATGGTACAAAAATGGAAGGAAAACTTATAATGATCAATCATTTCAAAGGAATAATGAACCAAAAACAAAGTTGATATCCAATTTTGCTCAGGCAAATAGATTGTGTTGGAAACTAAAGAGAGTGAAGTCTCTTAGAGCAAAGCTTAGTTCCAGATTCATAAGCAAGGTTTTGAAGGGTTAAGAGCAATACCAAATCTCTTCGGTGAAAAGTATGAACCATGAGATATCAAGAAGCAGAGCGCAGAAGAGAAGAACCGCGTAGGTGCGACCGAGACTTTGGCTATTGCTCTCGATTGCAACAAGCGCGAACAACGCAATCGCCAAATTTATCAACAAAACTCCATTGTATAATGCTCCTAATGATCCGATTAATGCGCACCCAATCTGAAACCACCGGAAAATATAATAATCAGCGATGAGACAAATTCAGAGAATCGATGAACCCTAGACCCCAAACAGATTTGAATCAATCGCGGAGAAAGAGATAGAAACCTGAGCGTAAATAAGGAAGACGGCGAGAGATTGGAGCTTAACATAATCGCGAAGCCAAGGCTGAATTCGATCTCGTAAAGAACCACAAAGCATCATAAATCTCGTGGCAACTCCGATGTCCCTTCATAAAAGACAAATTAGTCACGAAGCTTCTTCTATTGTCGAAATTTACCGGCGAAACATCACAGATCAACGGAGGGAGAAGAGGAAGAGAACGACGAAGAATTATTCGACGGGGGAGAATTTCGTGAGGAGGGGAAGAGTAAGAGTTTGTTTGGCGGGATCACATCGAATCCAAGATTGTGGCCAACTTAATGATAAATATATTTCTCCGGTGAAATTAAAAATCTCTAATGAAATAATTAAATTAAAGAAAAATATTTCAGAGACTGTCTGGAATAACGCCTCTCTGCTCGTCCAACTAGGCCCACTCCTTTTTATGTTATTTCTTTGTTTCTTCTTTTATACAACTCTCGAAACTGAAAATCACTATTTAATAAGCAAGATGGCAAATATAAAAATTACGGATTAGATAAGAAAATAATAATGAAACCAAATTGGCTTTCTTCTGGAAAGGGATGAAAAAGCTAACTCTATGATGACGGAAAAATAAAAAAGAGCGTAACTCTATGACCACCATCAAGGGATAAGCCACGTGAGAGAGTTAAGTCAGCTATTTTACTTAATATCTTGGAGGTTAGTTGACTTAAATCTAATTTTAATGAGCACACTAACAAACACACAATATATTTAGATATTGAATTATAGACTATGGTCTATGCAGGTAAGACCAAAATTTCTAGACACGAGTGCAAAAGTCTTAAGTAAAAGATATTTGAAAATACTGGTTTCATTTTCTCATCTGGGTGAAGAGTTCCGATGGCTTTCCTGTTGCTCCGGAGTTGCCGCCAAAGGCTGAGAACCCACCGCCACCAGCTTGGCCTTGCGCTTGGCCGCCGAAACCACCAAAACCACCACCTGTATAATAGTTATACAATCACAACAACATGACAATGGTCAAAATGTATGAGCATTACCCTGTATCTGTAATGTATAGGTCAATCCATGTTTACATGTAATATTACCTCCTCCTGTTCCGCCGAAACCTCCACTACCCTGAGGAGCAAAGCCTCCAAAACCTCCGGTGCCTGAACCAAGTCCACCAAATCCACCGCCTCCTCCTGGAGCGGCACCAGCAAAGCCTCCACTACCTGAGGCTAAGGCAGCGAAGCCACCAGTTGGAGTAGAAGAAGCACCAGCAAAGCCTCTACCAGCTGAAGCCATGGCAGCAAAGCCACCAGTGGCACTAGAACCAGCAGCAGCAAAACCACCGGATGCTGGTGCATTTGGCAGACCACTTCCTGGGTTAGAGCCACCAAATCCTGTAGGAGAACCAAACGTAGCTCCTGGGAGACCAGCACCAATCTGTCTCGACTGCCCAAAGGAGCCGAGAACCGACCCTAGAGCTTGCTGTCCCCCACCAATCTGTGATGGTTGGCCAAATCCGCTCTGAGCAGGTGTCTGAGAAGGTGTTACAGAGAACGAACCAAAACCCGCTGGTTGAGATGGTTGAGGATTTTGAAAATTGAACGATGCAGGTTTGAATAGCTCGCCACTCGGGACTGTCATATTGAATGGATTACTTGTTGTTGTTGTAGCATTACCAAAGGGACCACCAAATGGATTTGCTTTGGGGGCAGCCGGGTTTGGAGTTGACCCAAGCCCGAAACCTCCAAAACTTCCCATACTAAGTTCAGTTGTCTGGTTAGCCTCTGGAGCTTCTTCGTCCATTTCATCTTCATGTGTATCTACAGTATCTTTTTTCTCACCAAATGGACTTGCCGAAGTTGGTGAGGATGCAGGGAAAGGGACAGATGTAGACGATAGCTGTTGTGGCTGAGAACTACCTGTCCAACTGAATGAAGGAGCCGCCATGCTTGCAAGACTAGATTGTGTTCCTGATGAAAATCCAGACAGGAACCCAGATGAACTGACAGGGGTTACTGTAGTCTCTGGGTTTGAAAATTCAGTTTTCACCGGCAGTGGCTCATTCTGTGTTTTTGTTGCATTTGCTACAGAATCTACAGTACTTTGCGTATTTAGAATTGACGAACTTTGAACCTCTGGGATTTTAGGTTCTGAGACTGGCTCTGTAATGGGCACAGCAGAGGACGGGGTGAAAACTTGAGGAGACTGAAATGCATCAGGAGGGGTTGTCGTAATAGGGGGAGTCGAAGATAAGGAAGTTGATGAGAACAAACGACTACTATCTGTTAGGGAACTGGTTGCAGAGGCCTGATCAGATGACACTTGCGATGCTGGAGAAGATGATGGAAATGAAGATTGGCCTTTTGAGGATGAGACCATTTCAGGGGATGATGGAGACAAAGCTGGTAAATTAAAAGAGAAACCAGTTGTGGGACCAGGTGATGGAGAAGGTGTTGACGGAGCTGCTTGATTGAGATCTACATTGGCACTGGTCAACGGTTTACCAAATGGAACATTGAACCCCGTAGCTGAAATTGTAGATGTAGATGTGACTGAAAACGTTTGTGGGACTGGTCCTGAGCTAATGGGAATAGATGCTGGAACTGAAATTCATATTAAAGTTGACCAGTGTCATTGACCAGATATTAAAGTGCCTATTGTTGACTATTATGTGAATCAAGCGAAATACACAGAGGTCAAAGTAAACATACCTGAATCTTGTGTAGAGGATGACACTGGAGGTGATGATGGTGTAGATAAAGTGGAAGTGGAATCAAACGGCTTGCTAGACAAAGGTGAAGAAGAAACCGATACCATTACAGCAGGAACAGTAACTTTATCACTAGAGATACTGTTACTGGTTTTGAAACCAAACAATGATTTGGAAGGGAAACTAGACGCTGGTCCACCAGAAGACATGGGTGAAAGTTGAGCGCCAAAACCTTTGCTAGATTCAAAATCAGATCCTGATGATGTGGTAGAAAGCCGCTGCACACTTCCAGCAGCTGTTTCAACAAAAGCATTGGCCTTAGCTTCAGAAAATTTGAATTCTCCAGCCTTCTTTTCTGTCTGTTCAAATACAGTCGAGGCCACTGGTCGTTTCAGAAGAAAATTTGATCCTCCGGGCTGTGAAACTGTCCTTGTATCCTTATTTTGCGACGGGGCAGACTCCTCAGCATAAGAAGTTGTACTGCTAGACTTATTTCCAGACCAATTGAAACTTGGTTTTGAGGCAGCGATTGGAGAGATGGTAAAGGGACTGTTAGATTGGGGCATAGGTGGCCTCGTTTTGAATGGGGTTGATTGAGCTTCAGATGTGTCTTGTTGGAATGATTCCATAATACCTGCTCAAAGTAATTACACAATCAAACCAGAGAAGTGGTAGAGTAGAATTAAAAAAACAAATGAAACACAAAAACATTCTTCGAGATCAAATTAATGCACTTCGCAGTATATCTTAGCTAACCCTTATTTGAGGAGACTACAGGTGATGCATGATTTTTCAGGCGAAGCAGTGATCGCTCTTGTGTATTATTCACAGACCGTAGTCTCTCACTAAAGACAGTCTGTTGGTTCATACCCGTCTTCTGTTGCTCCTGCAGAAGCATCCTTTTGACAGTTGTTTTTGGAGGCTCAAAAGCAGCCCAATTCTGTAAACAGATCATAAAAAGTAGAGCCACACGTCAGGATACACCAAAAATAAAAGAAGTGCATATAAATTCTTCACAGTTTAATATACTAGAGCATCACAGAACAGAATGATGTGCATATATCGTGAGGGCTACTACTGAGTCAAAGATTTCCTACAAAATTACCCTGTCTAGTGATTCTCTTCTCCTCCTGGCAGTTTCAGGGTCAGAATTTTTCATAGCAGATGACTGACGTTGTCTTGACTGTGCATTTATACTTGCGGGAATAGAAGACAGTAATAGGTTTTTTGCTGAAGATGCATTTTTAGCTTTTACCGCATCTGGTGAGCTGAAAGAAGCATCGTAAGGGATCCCAATTGTCTCAAACAACTCCTGCTTCACATTCTTTTTTACAGGTGAATCGATTTTCAAATATGTCATTTGTTTTGAGAGACACTCAGAGAGTTGCTCAGAAGCTGCCAATTGGGAACTCATTGTGTTATGAAGGCTGTGAAGGGATTGCACACGTCTGCAAAAAGAATCAACCCAATTTGAGTTGCAAAAAAGGGGACGTTATGACCAACTTAAAGAATTTCTTGTGATGGTTTTTTCTTCCTTAAAATATCCACAACTGATCCACAAGAATACCTTGAAGGAGCAGACCTATTTGGCAAACCTCTTCGTGCCACAGGTTGTCCACCATCCTCATGGTAGCGATCGAGTTCAAGCCGATTAAAATATCTCTCTAGTTCAATCAGTTGATGAGTCAAATCCTAGAATGAGAAAAGTAGAAGATAAATGACAACAGCGAGCTAAAAGTAGTAACAGATAGGTGAGGGAGATATATCAACGCATGAACAACCTTGTTTAGTTTCATAATATGCTGCCGCTTGGCCTCAAGCTCAGGATTCAACTTCTGGCGGTTCCAAAGTTGCCAGTACTGGTTATCAGCAGTTTGCTTATACATACCTTCCATGTATGTCTTTTTTGCCAAGACTGAAATCCCCACATGAAACAATAATAAGAAAACAAAATAACAACATGTTAATTTGCAGCCTAGATTCCAGTGTAAGATATGAAACGATATTGAATATAATAAGGAAGACCAAAAGAACGAGAAACAACTTTAGACTAGGGACCTCCAGAGAAACATGTGTAATAAAAATGCAAAAACCTCATCTAAAGCACAAGCTTATGCTAATATCATACTGGAGCTCACGCTTTTTCACCATCATATACAAATATCAGATATGAGACTAGTGTATGTATCGGTATTTGTTCCCTTCTTCTAAACTTCTCAATTTAGGTTGAGAATTTAAGTCTGGTGGGTTAATGATGTAATGGGGATGAAAGTTAAACTTCCCTCAATTTCTAGATATCACTGACAGTGTTTAGAAGCAATACAAATTTACTACATTCCTAGTTTGCCTATTACGGGCCTCGCGGCTTTAGAATACCTTTTCAAGTAAAACAAAATTCTACCTGGTAACAATATTTTTGCGCTACATATGGGGATGATAAAATAAATAGATCACCTTGAATTGTTTTGTCAAGAAGATGTTGGATCTCTGCTTGCTGCTCGTGAATTGTGCTCTGAAGATCATCAAACCAAATGAGTTAACAATGTAGAAGAAGGACCAGAATCACCAACAGTATTTGTTTATTGGAAGGTGGTTTGGTCAAATGTTAAAAGAGGGAATCCAAAAATAATACGAACCAATAACAAAATACGTGAACTTTTACGTATTACCTTCCACGTTTGGCACTTGCCAGCAAGACTTTCAAGTCCTTGCTCCAGTTCTTCAACATGGCTTTTCAGTAAAACTGCGCAAGAATCCTTGAAACCACCCGGTCCTTCAATAGACTGTAAAAGTGTATCCATTTCTCTGGCCATCTCATTTATCTGGTACAAGAAGGGAAGAGTCAGTTACACCAATGGTATAAGTCCTGTTAGTAAAATACTACAGCAAGGCATGAATGTGAAACCATGAGTGTCGGATGACCCTGTCCTAGAATACATATTCACATGAAAAAATCATACAGAAATTAATTACAATCATGATTAAACATTACATTACTGGGTTGCTTTGACATGTTATGCTCAAGTCTCAGAGGTCCAGCACTGGGCGGGGTTTTGTGTTGCTGATGACTAGCCGATTTTTCGAAGGAAGATTTCACCTGTTGTGACAATTGAGAGGCACAGATAGAAGGTATTGGCTCAATTTTCTCCACCCCTTCATTAGCGTCCCAATTTTGGCCCAGCGGAGGACTTAAATTGCTCAGAGCTGATGCTCTACCAGTCTCAACAACTTGTACAGGTTTCTCTTTAGTGCTCATAGGAGGATTCACATAACCAGTTCCAGACTGTACAGATTGCTTATGGTGAGTATCTTTCACAGAAGGAAAGGGACCAGATACAAAATCTGGAGGTGAGACGCCTTTCCCACTTGACCATGGCTGAGATGACGTATTTTGCGGTGACTGAAAAATTGCGTTCTGCAGGCCAGGAGATCCAAATAAAGCTGGTGTACTCTTTGACTCAACATTGGCCTGCAAATGCATAGACTTGGACTGCGCAGATACATCTTTCTGAAGCTTATCGGAAACAGAGAGGGCAGGACCGAAACCCGAAAATTTGTTGGTGTCATATCCTAAGGACACAGGTGATTGCCCAAAACTTGTTCCGAACTGCCTAGGAATCATGCTTTGTTGACCATCTTCTACTTGTAACGGTTTTTCAGCATATGGTTCTTGCTTCTTCTTGTTGTCTTCAGACACTGAACTTTTTACAGACTCAAATTCCTTACTAAAAATGTTTTCATTTGGGAACCTTTGTTCAGTAGAGAACTTCTCTGCGTTGAGGTGTTTCTGTTCATTTTGTACTGAAACATTCAACTGTTGATGTTCTTCAGGCTCTTCAGAAGATTGTTTAGAAAGGTCATCTTCAATCAAAGGGGTATAAGCATCTTCTACATCAGAAGAAGAGGCCAAATCAGCATCAGATGAAGCTGGGGGTCCTGCAACACTGTCGAGGAACACAGTTTGATGTTTTAAGTAATGTTGTCAACAACAATGAGTTAAAACCATTGTGAGAAATAAAGTCTACCTAGCAACATTAAACATGACCAGCTTTCCTTCCAAAGTGAGGCACACAAGAACAAAATATGGCGGGAGTTCTTTAAGTTCATCATTTCCGGAACGGACATTAACAGTCCCTGCAACAGAAACCCTATCGATACAGAGTCCCATGATCGTATTGTCATCGCCATTTTCTGAAAAAACAAATTATCTTCTTTGTATCAAACGTGTAACTGTAGGAAAAAATACACATACAATACAGCAACTCTGGACTGCATACCTTGGAGCCCAATCCTTGGCAAAAAGGTCTCTCGTTCAATATCAACAACGGAAACTGCAGTTTTATTATCACCAGGTGACCAATCCAGCAAAACAATATGCTCATCTATGCTCTTTCTGTTTGCTGTGACCGCCAGTTTGCTGTAGGGTGAAACACAGAAACATTTACCATCTTCACATTGAAAATAGTGGTAGTTTACATAGTCCGTTTATTAATTCAAAAAGAGGAAATGCCGGGAACAGTTAAACTGATTTTATTGCATCTCCAAACGAAAGTGGTAAATATGAAATGAGCTCAAATTTACTTCTAGTATAAAATGATGGGAACTTGTATCATAGTTAGTTGTATTTGAAAACCATTCTCATTAGAACATTCTTGGTAATTTAGTTCTCTTCCAAGTTGGTTACGTATGGAAAAAAAACTTTAAGATCGGATATTTAATCCAGAGTGGGAAAGAATGACAAACGGCTAGCAGTGAGCAAGAAAAGTGGAGTATTTATGAAAGAAAAAAAAAACAGAACAAAATGAAAAGAATAGAAAGAACAGTAGAATTAGCGTCACGTACCATTGGTCTATGTAGCTAAAGAGCAAATGAGGTCCAACACCAACCGGAACAATATCATCCATAGAACATGGAAACAAATCGGAGAAGGATAAAGCAACCAGATTGGATGAACCCTGCCAAAAAGTTCAAAAAAATCACAAAATCAGATAAATATATAAGTAAAGTTACAGATCCTATTAAAAAAGGTGTTATCTCTTAGTAGAAACTAAAAACCAGTATCTACGCCTCAGCACCAAAATCAATGCAAAAGAAATGTTACTCACATCAGAAATCTTCCCATCTGGACTCCTAATAACCTGAACAAGGTAATTTTCTTCCCTGCCATCAATCAGCTGAAAGCATCCGAGAAGGATACAGTTGTTGCGTACCCATCTGATAGAATCAACTGTTGCAGAGTGTTGTTGGTAAACAGTCATTCATTGAGAGGGTTTAATATGAGAGCCATCTATGAAACTTTGCAATGGAAGTGTGCACGTAACTAGGGAAGTTTCAACACCAGTCTAAGAGATACATAACTATAGGGATTTAACGTAGATACAGATGGGAGATAGAAAAAAATGAGAACTTTCAACAGGATCAATTTGTATATAGCATGTCAACGCACCAGAATACAGTACGACTCAGTCCATAAGAAAACATATCAAACAGCATAAATCAACAATGCAACTTATAAACAAAACGGAAAGTACTGCTAAGAAATAAGAAGGACAAAACCTGCAACATACCTTTCACTGAACAGTCTTCATCGGAATCACCAATCCAGGCGTCAAATGATAGTGCTATGCACCGCTTCTCGTTAAATTTTGACGACAAAATCCGCAGGCTGTTATCTTGAGCCACAGCGATATAACTCCCTTTTGAACTCCATTCAACTGACAAACAAAACAAAGTTTACAAGTAAATTCCTACAGAGTCGATCTTCCACTATTGCCAAAAACATGGTAATCTGCTGAAGAAATAGCAATAAAATAAAACAAACCGGCGTCAACAGCATCCATAACATGTCTAGGGGGTGCATTGTCAATTCCATGAAAGAGCTTCCCAGTATTCGAAAGAACAAGATAAGAATGCTTATCTTTCCTTATCCACCGAAAATCCTTAACAAAGCCTGACTCATCAGGTGAATAAGAAAAAGAAGGTTTTGCATCCTGCACCAAAGGAACAGACATAGTAAGTAAACTATCAATCAACATAGATTCTACATCATAGCAAAGCAATCCAGCTAGTCGAGCCGTGTACCTTCTTAAGAAGTGAATCCACAGAGAAGAAATGAATATCAGCAGCAACGGTGACAGCGAGAATCGAATCATCCGCCGAGAGAGACAATATACGAACGTCCCCAACAGGAACATCAACGAGGCTCAAATCCTGGATATAAACCTTATCACCGTTCCCGTTACTGTTCTTCGAGGCAGAAATTACATCCTTAGTCCTCCCAACAAAAAACCCTAATTTCCACATAGAACGGTCACAATACATAAACAGCACGAGCATAAACATGTACCATCGCCGATTACGAAAACTAACCGGAGGAATGGGCGACAAAGACGACGCCGTGGCGTTCTGAGATAGCGAGAGGCTGTGACGGAGGGTTTTCGAGATCGTATTGAGCATCATCCTCTTTGATACTGATAGGTTCGCCGATTCTCTCGAAGTAGTAATCGTTCGATGAGATGCGATCTCCTTCCATATCTTCTTCAATCTCAGCTTGGCTCATCTTTCGAACTCTTCTAAAGGCTGTTTCAATGGCTGAATCGAAGGTTTTTGGGCGGGAAGTAGAGAGGACGAAATTCGACAAACCAGGGACTCGAGAGTGAGTCTCTCTGATTACAAGTGCCGGTGATATCTCTGGTCCGATGAGTCGACGACGGTTCAGGGTTTGTTAATTTAAATTAGTATGGGCCGTAATGTGTTAAAGGCCCAATTGGCCCTTATTTGACACACCAGACCGCTTCTCTTAGCTAAACCAGATTCAGCGACCGTTAAATGCAGACCGGTTCTCTTTGCTAAACAAATGAAATCAGAGAAGGATAAAGCAACCAGAGTGGATGATCCCTGTAAAGAAGAAGCTGACGAAAGGGATAAGACGAAGACATCCTCGAGAATCAACAGTGTTGTTTATATATTGCGTTGTATCTATAGAAACATATTTATCTCCTAATGTAACATATAGTGATGTCGGCTCAACTAATATAAAGTTTGTAGGAATGCTTAGCTTCAAAGGTCAATTCTGAGAACTAAAAGTTTGATTTCAATATTTCTTCTCAAATAAAACAACGTAGTTTTCTGTCATCATCTACGTTGACAATTGGACTCAAGCCACGCTTCAAGTCTCTACAAGACAGTTGGACTTAACTTGAATAATGGCCCACATGGCTTTTTTTGCTTTCACGTTAGAAAGACTATATCTCGATCTCATATGTTCTTCAATACTGTTCCAACAATGTATACACTTTCATATGATTTCTCATCGTTTTGATAAGGTGGTGTTCGGAGCTAATCTGGCTCACCTGTTTGGTGTGATGTTGAGACCAAAGGCTTGGCCTTCCTTCTCTTACCATGCAGAAAACTCTCCCGGTCTGCATCTCACTTCAATGCTTGGCGTTTAGAGATTTCAAAGAAGAAACAACTAGAGGAGATTCACCGATCGCTCAAAGTGTCACCACAAACTTCGTTTTTCCTTCTTCTTGTTTTGTCCTTTTGCTTGTTCTCGTACCCTTTTGTTCTTTTTGGTTTGTTTTGTCTTGTTGTGTTGTATTGGATCCTCTTTGTTAATTTTTAATCAGTGAAAAGAAATGAATTTATATCAGGAATGTAGATACCCATTACAAATTATAAGCTTTAATGAGGATCTCTTGGTAAATTATGATTCTGAAAAGTGTATTTTCAAAAAATAATAATAATCATATTTTCGAATTTGTAAACTAATAAAGATACGTTTCCAAAATTCCTCTTTTTTTTTTAATATGTTTTCGTTTATTAACATATTTTATAAGATTTATTTTCTATATACACAACTAGGGTTTTTTTGCTCTTTCAACTTTAAAACTCATCTACTTGTCGTTCACATCATATTTTAGACTTGAAGCAGATGGAGCCGTCTGATGTAAAAAGGGAATCTCCTGGTAAGTTTCTTTGCTCAAAACCTTACTTGAGATGATAGAACATGAGTACTTATCTGTCTTGTTGCCGGAAAATTAAGATGGCCAGGAAGATGATAATACTGCTGAACTCAGCGGAATCAAGACTGTTGGGGATCCAAGTAAGTCGTAATACTAAACATTTACTCTTGCTACCAAATTTTTTCTGCAATTTATTCATACTAATTGATTTTTCCTCTGAAGTTGGACCCGGGGAAACAAAGAAGAGTGACAACGATGATAAAGGTATAAAATACCCTTTATCTTGGGATTACATGCAAGTCTTTAAAAAAAGAAAAGAAAATTGAAAACATTGTGTTTTTTCGTTAGGTTCCTCTTCCAATATAGTGGCAGAGTCAGAATCTAAGTATGAGATGCAGCAGATTCTGAAAGTTAAGTTAGGGTCCGTTCGTTTCATCATTTACCATTTCCATCCAAATGGTCCATTTAAATGTTCCATCCAAATGCTCCATCTGAATGTTGTTCGTTTCAATTTTTGGATGTTCATTTGGATGGAACATTTGAATGTTCGAAAAATGATAATCATTGATTTCACGATTTTTAGAGATTTTATTTGGTGCAAATATGTAATTTTTAGAATATAAAATGAAAAAATCTATGGAAAATAAACATTATTTGATTTATGATTGTAAATGAGGGTATATTTGTCATTTGTTATTTTTGACTGAATCATCTCCATCCAAATGCTCCAATCATGTTCATCCAGATGAGTTTGAAAAATTTGCCTAAAATTACAAACTCATTCAGATGATCCATCCAACTAATTCATCCAAATGATCTGTTAAATTGTAAAAAACGAACATCATTTTTCATCTCCATCCAGATGATCCATCTGGATGGAGAAACGAACAAGGCCTTAGACGACTGCCAAAGGCAACTAAAAATGCTTGAACGCATGATCCCGAAAATTGGTGATTCTGAGAGAAAGAATGCTCTGCAGCTTTATCTGGATGATATGAAGCCATCTCTGGAGAGTACAGAAGTTCTCCTAGGGAAGTTTAAGTTCGAAGAAAAAGACTTCTCTGGAATAGTGGAAAATATGAAGAATGTGAAGTCGGCAGTTCTTGATCGTCTTTCCTTCGAGAAGAAGATGATAATACAAGATAAGAGGAAGAAATGAGCCATAAGGTTGGTGGACATATTATCTGTTTTGCTTTATCAAGCTTTCTTTGTTTCATTATTTCCATTTCAAACTAAGCTCAATCTCTACATCATATTCGTTTTGAAAGAAGAAGATTATAAGAATGTTTTTCTTTCCTTGTCCACCGAAAATCCTTTACAAAGCCTGCACCAAAGGACATATAAAGTATCAATCAACATAGATTCCACATCCTAGCTTGTATGTGCTACTTGTATTTATGTGCTACTTGTATTTATGTGCTATTCAAACATACAGGCCCAGCATAATATTAAACAGAGAAGGACTATGATATTTAGGCATCTATATAAAGAAAAAGAAAGTAGAACGACTTAAAAGAGACCATTAACAAGAGATGATCAGACCGATTCTCTGAGCTAAACCAGATTAAGTGCCATTCAATCCGACCGTTAAATGCAGACCGGTTCTCCTACATAAACCAGATTCGGTTTTGCGGGTTCATTATAGTCGCCAAACGGTGTCGTTTTACCCTCTGCTCATTGCCGTCGATGAATCTGCCTTCTTGTTAATTTCTTCGAGAGTTGGTGTTTTTGAAGGCTGAAGATTTGTTTGAATTCGATTGGAGTCTCTGGATTGATCTCGAATTTCTAGGTCCAAAGTTGACCAATTGTTTTGATTTTCTTTTTTTTTTTTGATCGCAACTCTTTGACGGAGAAGATGCGAATCGTTCTAGTGGCGTTGTTGGTAGCTCTCGAGTTGGCGTCGCTCGTCGATTTTGGATTAGCTTCACCTTCCACAGTTCCTGCTTTCCTCTGGTCTCCGCATCTCCAGTTAGGCCTCTCTCTGTTTTTACCATTTTCGAGGCTTATATGAGTAAATTTACCAACTTTCATTGCATTTGTACTCTGGATTTGTGCTTATATGGATTATGTCCACATTGATGAATTCCAGGTCTGCTAATGGTGAAATGGATGTAAATTATCAAGTCATGTCTTCAAAGGATCTAGTAGACTCTGTTTTCACTCAAGGAGGCTGGTCTAATTTTCTGGTAAGTTCGTCTCGAGTCCGCAAGCAAAATATTGACACAAACGCAATGGTTTCATTCTCATATCTATATTACTGTCTCCATTGTTTAGTGCTCGGAGAAAAACCTTCAGCAACCTGTTGATGTTGCACTCGTGTTCATTGGCAGAGAGGTAAGAGTTTTATGTATTATTGAACATGCTATTCGATATGAATTGAATTCGATTCATCTAAATCAACTGGCTTTAAGAGCATCTTTCTTGGTAATATTTACAAGTCATAAACATTGGCTGCAGTGATTTCTACTGCTCCTTTACTTAGTACTCTTTTGCGTTTACAGTTACTGTCTTCAGATGTTTCTTCAAATCGGAACTCGGATCCTGCCCTTGTTAACACGTTGAAGGTTAAGTTAATTTGACTAATATTGTGGAATCATGGATGTGTTACATATTGACATTCTTAAGTCTGCACGATATTTAACCTTCAGTTCGTTTTTTTTTTTATCAGAATCTGTATACAGCTTCCAATTTCTCATTGGCATTCCCCTATATTGCTGCACCAGAGGAGGAAAGGATGGAAAATTTGTTGCTTTCAGGGCTTAAAGAAGCCTGTGCTCACAATGTAGGAGTCATCAATGTCGTGTTCTCAGACTCGTGTTTCGTTGAGGATGGAACAATTCAGAAACTATCGAATGTGCAGTCTTTCAAAGTAATCTGTTGTTTTTATGTTTATGCTTTCTCAAATCCCTTGCATTTCGATCAATGATAATAATTCACATTCTTTTTTACCCACCCTTTCTCTTGAACCTTCTAATTTTACTTCTATAAAATCGACAGGACCATTTAGTTGCTAGAAAAGAAACAAGAAAAGAAGGAGAAACCGACTTGGTTGTGCTCTGCTCTGAGGGATCTGAATCATCAAGTCAATCTGACCAGTCACATTCAGATCGTAAGTGGACAGATCATGGTTACAGAAGAAGTATAGCATTTAGATACTCGTATTAAGTTAAGCAAGTTTCCTTTGAACCATATCTGCAGGTGAAATCATCTCTGAGCTTGTTAGTTCGATGGAGCAGTCTGAAACTAAATACACAGCTCTATATGTTTCTGATCCTTATTGGTACACTTCATACCAAACTCTCCAAAGGTTTTTGGCGGAAGCCGCTACAGGAAACACCACAGCTGAAGCTACTACAACCTGTGATGAACTCTGCAAATTTAAGTCATCACTCTTGGAGGGTATCTTAGTGGTAAAGTCACCATCACTCTTAAGCAAATTTCTTCTAATAAACACTCTTTAACGCTTAATGTCTCCAGCTTGAAGCTTGTGATTCCTTATCTAAATAGTCTTTGATAAGGTCTCTTTCTTCTTTTCAGGGAATCGTTTTTCTTCTCATCTTGATAAGTGGACTTTGTTGTATGGCGGGCATCGACACACCGACTAGATTCGAGACTCCTCAAGATTCTTAAAACTCAAGATTGAGCA